TTTTTTTAATTCTCAAACAACATTTATGGTACAGTATGGAGGATGTAAAATATATAGCACTCATTTTTTAATGAACTGGACAGATTTTTCCATCTCATTTTCTGATCAGTAATGATTCATGTCTGAATCAAATGCCAATTTGCAGTTGTCAGTGTTACAGCTGTAGGTGAATTAATTACATTTCTAATTAAAAGTTTACTTGTTAATGTTTATTATTTGAAATTGTGTTTTTTTTCATTGGCATTCTTGAGCTGTAAAATCATGTATATTGTATTTTGATCTATGTATTAATTGGTTTTTGTSTAGGATAAATCAAATCAAAAAGAACGTATTGAACTTCCCACAGCAGTTAATAAAACAATCGTAAGTTCATATGATATTGATACATATGGAACTATTTGGTACTACCTTAAAAATATTTAAAAACATTACATGTAATTTTCGTATTGTGATATTTGATTTTTAGGTATGATAACATGTACTAACTCTTTCATGATGATTTTAGCTGTCAGACAAGAAAGATGAAACACCAACAGACGCTAAATCAAGAAGGTCTGGTGAAAAAAAGGCGAAAAAAATAATAAAGGAAATGAATAAAGGAAAAAGTTCAAAGGTACAAACAATTATTGAAAATTGAAGAGTATTCTCTTGGTTAAACATGTTTTGTTTTTCTATATATACATAATAGAAGAGGTCTCACCATCGTAATAGAAGAGATACTAAATCAAAGGTTTGAATTTTTATTATGCATTAAGTACTCACTGTTGTCAATGCTTCAATGCTAATAATTCAATAATTAAAATATTTTTGTTCAGCCTGCACAAGATACAGAAGATGATAATGATGCACAAGATGGTATGTTTACCTTTGGCATACTATCCTGTGTGATGCAATATCAACCTGTTTTAATGATTTGCAGATGATGTTGGAAAGACAACACGTAAACCAGCAAAAACTACTCCTGAGTTAACAACAAAGCTGAAGACAATAACTACAGTAGCTAAAACAAAGGCAACTGAAATATCAACAGAGGCATCAGAGTTGGCAACTGATCATAAAGTAGATTCCCATCCAGAAAAGAAGAAACCGGTAGGCAATGTTATTGTAAAGTATGCCATACCATGACTATGTTACATGTTTTTGAAAAGTTGTTACACAGTCTTAACCAATAAGTCTGAAAGCACACAGTAGTGCTCTTTGATGTGTGATATGGTATATTTTTGACAGTTTGTCCCAAAACACATTATCAAAGGACTAGTTATGTAAAAAGATAAATTTAACACCGTAAAAAAGTATGTGGAAAAACTTACTGACGTTTCGGATGTTAATCCTTCGTCGGAGTAAAGATCTTTACTCCGACGAAGGATTAACATCCGAAACGTCAGTAAGTTTTTCCACATACTTTTTTACGGTGTTAAATTTATCTTTTTACATAACTGTTTCTTTAGAAACACCGACGCAGCTCACACTAGTTTACCGCTAGTTCCCACCATTTTATCAAAGGACTCCCAGACTTATTCACTAAGATTGTAGCTTGCCAAAAAGATGTCAAACATTTGTTGTGTTATTATTTGTTTACAAATATCTTCTTATGTTTTCAGATGTTTGTACTAAATGTTTTTCATGCACTATTTAGGGCACCAATCGCATCACAAACACCAAACGAGATGGTATATACATGCTTATTGTTAAAGTTGAATCAGATGTTGATGCTGTTTTTGAGCTTAATCGTAAGTATAATGCATTAATATATGCAGTTGTTTAGTTTAGGTTTTTAACTTCTTAGCAAACTATTTTGCAGTTGAAGTGGCTATGGAGAGCAAGTCTGGATATTTGTCAGCAACTGATTGGCCTTTACTACCTGTAAGTATAGATTACGAACATTGTTTTGATAATACTTAAAAGAGTAAGTGAGCACTAATGCTGTACCTCTGTTGTTGTCAGTCTCTTGTATTTGTTTACAATAAAATAAAACAATCATTTTCAATTAAACTGTATCTATTGTAGTTTTATGGGGTCATGTCGTTAGTCTACCTGTTTTATGGGATTGTTTGGCTGATAGTCTCAGCATGTCAGTGGAGAGATCTTCTCAGAATACAGGTATGTTATTTATTATTTTGAATTTATATCCAACACTTTTTCCTTTCTGTCTACAATGGTAGCTAGATAATCAGTGTTTCTAAATTGATCTTTATATAATTAATCATAACTAGTACCATTTTGTTAATGTTGTATATTCTCAATATTCAATTAATTCCTTTTGTAGTTTTGGATTGGTGGAGTTATTGCTTTAGGTGAGTGTGAATAAAAATTGAACATTGTTGTTTTTGTTTTTTTGTTGTGCATTTCACATAATATGATTATAATACATGTACAATTCAAGCTCTTGTCTTGCTCTTGTTGGCCAAGTTCTTGCATTTATTAATTTTAGATTCATATACATGCAATTAATACATAAAATACTGAGCTAAATGCTTTGAATATGATCCATTGATTTATTGCTACAGACCGGTTTCGTATGGTTTGAACCACACTCAGGCAATTTACAATATCTATCGGTCATTCATTGTAAATTGCCTGATGAGTGTGGGTCAAACCATACGAAACAGGTCTGTAGCAATAAATCAATGGATCATATTCAAAGCCTTTAGCTCAGTATTTTATGTATAATTGCTCCTTTAAGTTGAGCACTATGAAAAATTATTCTTCAATATTAAGTTCATGTAATTAATATATATATTTTTACCTTAGGAATGCTTGAGAAGGCAGTATTTTACTCAGAATACAATAACATCAATAATACTGGATTAACTAGTAAGTTGTATTTATTGTTATTTTTAGTGATTTTCATTTGATTGATTGATTTAACTTCTTAGCACCAAGTCTTGTTGTGTTTGCTGAAGTTGTATCTGTAGCCAAAAGGACTTTAGCACGTATGCTTGTCATCATTGTCAGCATGGGATTTGGTATTGTAAAGTATGTTTTATTTTTCCTTTTATTGTACCCTACATTTCTGTAAACCATCATGTTTATTACTTGACATACAGTGGCCGTAAAGCAAACCAAGTTAAAATTCTTAACAAGCCCTTTGTAGCATCAGCATTATTTTTCAAGACTGCATATTGTGTGGTATCAATTTCAGGGCTCGAAATAACAGCCGGTCAAAGGACAATGTCCTTCCAAATTCACGCCAAATCGGGTTTTCAAAGGACAAATTGACCTGCCACATTTTTAGACGTCACATAAAAAAACCAATCAATTCCCAATTTGCAAAATGTATGTAAATCTTTTACAAGCCATTAAAATGCTTGCCAATCTTTCTGAATGCAAAAACCTATAAATTAAAAGAAAATAATAGTATAATAAATGTTTGGAAGGACATCTTGTCCTGCATATGTCTGGCCGTTATTTCAAGCCGTGAATTTAAATGTTGTATTGTAGACCAAGGCTTGGAAAGTCTCTCCATCGTGTGCTTGGTGTTGGTGCACTGTATTTTATTCTTGGTGTTGTAGAAGGTTCCATGAGATCACTCAGTGTAAGTAAAGTAGCCCTCAATGCTATTGTCTCAAAGATCTACTTAGTTAAAAGACATGTCTTAATGCCTAATCTGAGCCTCAATGCTCAGTTTCCAAGGTACAAAGAATGCTTGTCTGATGAATAATTGACCTTTCAGAAAACCTGAAATATAGTTCTTTCATGTCACAATATGTCTAATTCTTTTAAAAACAATTAAATAAAATGTGAAGCATTTGTGATGCTTAGAAACACAAGTAAGAAAATTGTGATGATAAGAATTGAATAACTCTTTGTTGCTTTTATATGTTTTTAGTTGAAAGCTGACCCAAGTAAAGAGCAATTAGTTGCAGGCATCCCGTTGGCTGTTCTTGATGCTGCCATCTGTTGGTGGATATTCATGTCTCTGGTTCAAACTACACGCACACTGAGAATCAGAAGAAATGTTGTCAAACTGTCATTGTACAGACATTTTACCAACACACTTATCTTTGCTGTACTGGGTATGCTTTCAGTATTTCTTTGCAGTGTATAAATATTTATTCTTTATATATATATATATATTTCTTCTTCTTCTTCTTCTTCTTCTTCTTCTTCTTCTTCTTCTTCTTCTTCTTCTTCGTATTTTAAGGATGTGATTAATAAAGTTTATTCTTCTTATTACCTGATCACATTACATGTGTGTGCAATTGTCATGCAGTTGTTCTTGTTTGACAGCTTCTGTTGCTTACATGGTGTGGTCAATCAAGACTCACAGATTTGCTGACTGTCTTAAGGTAGACCACATTGCAACGATTCACTGACATGCTCTTTGATCACATGTTTTAATYATTTGATGTGTGTGTGTTATGTAGGATTGGTCTGAATTATGGCTTGATGAAGCATTTTGGCATTTCCTGTTCTCAATCCTCTTGCTGGTCATAATGATATTATGGAGACCAACTGCTAATAATCAAAGGTAGATGTCATAGAATCACAAAGTAAGACTGTCTCAAATTCATGARTGATTAATTCCATTCAGATATGCGTTTACACCAATTGTGGATTTTGACGATGATGATGAAGAGGACAATGTTACTCTCTCTGAAGCGTTTGGTAAATATGATATTTCTTATTGAGTAAATTGAATCATTTGATAATTTGATTTTGATTGTGAATATTTTAGAGTTACATGTAATAGGCAAACTTTCATATCTTCTTTAGATGGAATGAAGATGAGAAACACAAGAACTGAGGTTGTCATCAATGGTTCAGATTCTAAGAAAAAAGCTGTGAGTAAACCAGATAATAATTAATATACAATGCGTAACTCATTTTGATCTGTGTTGTGTAGGAAGAAGATTTGGAGTAAACCTTTCTCCAGATAATAAATAATATACAATATGTAACTCATTTTGATCTGTGTTGTGTAGGAAGACGATTTGAAGTGGGTTGAAGAACATATTCCATCATCTGCAGCAGACACGTAAGAAAAAGCTACCGGTACTTGTTTGTTTTCCTTGTGGATTGTTTAAGGTATTTTGTTGATCTTTCAGGGTTTTACCAAGTGTCCTGGACTCAGATGAGGTAATTTGATGGTGSTAGTTTTCCCCACAAATCAAGGATTTTTAAGTTAAAACAATCAAATTAGAAAGAAAGCCTTTGAAGCTGCAAGAAATTAATGAATAATCCAATTATTCATTTATTCAACGAATGAATAATGTAGTGCAGTAATATTTCCAAAGACATSCGTGCTTTGCTTTGCTCTGTTACATTTCATGATGTCCATCATTTTTTAGGAACTGATGACTACAAAATTCGAGATGTCAAAAATGGATTAATTTATAAAATAAAGTGAAATAAGTGACAATAAGGTCAGTATGATAATACTGCATATATTCATTGTCTTTAAGTAATATGAGTAAATGTGTGGATTTGTTGAGTGGTTGACTGGATGGTCATGTGATTGTTTGGATGGGTTGACACGTGTATTGGTTGGTTGGATGTGTGTAGACGTATTGGCTTAATAGCTTTTTGGTTGGTTCGTCTTGTGGGTAGGTGATAGATTTGTAGATYGATTGAAACATTTCTAATTCACTTTATAGGTCAAGACAAGATTGGACTACTGCATGGGAATAAATTCACACATATGAATCTGAACTTATTCTCATCAGAGCTTCTTCCCGAACCCCATGTAATTCTTTCTATAATATAACTGAACAATGACAATGTTATTTTCTTTCACGTTCGTATTTTAAGATTTTAAGTCATTTTTTTACTACCTCCTGTTCTTCATGTTTTTGAAAACAACTGTTTTACTCTTTTGGGGTCAATAATTTAAATCGCTAGTATGCTCGGGACTACAGATCTCGCTACATTTGTTTTCAAAAGTATTGTGAAACCTTTTTATGTCAAATACAGAACAACATGGCATAGTTTATGATTTAATAAAAACTCAGGCTATATGTATGTCCAAAAAAGCGTTGGCAATTAAAATCAGTGGGAATTCTGATGTAAAATTGTGTATAACTTATCTGAGAGCAAAGTTAGTGGAGGAAGACTGTCTCCCTCTACTATGTCTAAAAGTTATAACGTGAATTTTCCCTGTGGATTGCCAACGTCCTTTTCGGTATACCTTTAAACAAAATAATCCTCGTAGTGTTTAAATTGCAATTGTCAACAATCATGCTTTATACTTAGTTTATATGTTTAGATTAATCTTGAGGCTTTAGAGCTGTTGTTGCATGTCTTAAGTAGTTGATTTCAGTTCAAATTTACGATAGAAACAAATGAGCTTGTTGCAAACGGTGTTCAAATCATTGCTGACACGCGTAAAATCCACGAACTAGACAAGGACTAGTTCAACACTATCCACCATATTTTTTTCTTTGAGAAATTTCAGTGACACATTTCGCATTTTCTTTCTTTCTGTTTTTTTTTTTTTTTTCTGGACACGGTTTTTGGGCAGCATTAATGATATAATTACATATGTGCAATATATTGTAAGCGCGTAATAAGATAAAATAAAATTATTTAAAGATATTGCTTCTTGAAGTAGAATATCTTTTGTTTTTGTCATTCTTTTTGGATCCCTGCAGATTCAATTCATGATATTTCATTAAACTCTTGTTCAAATAAACAATTTTAGTTAAAAAAAATACAATAGAAGTAATAAAAAGGTGGTATGATTTATAGTACACCTGACCACCTATCAAACAAAGCACTATTTAATCAAAGCAATCGGCTGTTTTTATTGATTATTATTTGACAAACTATTTTCTGGGACATCAGGGAAATTTTTATCCACGCCCATATAAAACAAACATCGTCCCTGTAAAAAGCAAACAGATTTCTAATTTATTTGAACTTACAAAATTATGATAATAATAATAATAAAAAAAGACTTTATTAAAATATGTCTATCCAATCAGGAACTTTAAATGCGCCTTTCGTTTATTGACAAACACCAAGCACTGATGTGGCGATCAATCTATGTCAAAATCAAATTTTATTAAAGCGGACCAAAGCAAACGAATTGAATCCCCGCCCCGCCGCACTTCCAGTTTTATAGTGGCTATAAGTCAGAGATCAGAAGCATAACCTGGCGGTCTTGACGGCATAGTAACATCTAGCAAACATGTCGATTGAGTTTAATCCTGAACTCTTCTTGGACGTAGTTTTCTCACTGCTTCTTGTCCTCAATATAGCAGGGAATTACCTGGTGATATATATCATTTACAAAAAGCAACGGACTTCAACAGACTATCTTTTACTGAACTTAGCGCTGTCAGATATGTTGTTTGGAGTACTTATCGTTCCCAAATTTTTTAAAAACACAATAATCAAGCGAACAGATAATATATTTGAAAACGTTTGGATGTGCTTGTTGTTCAAGAAGGGAACATTGCCTTACACAGCTATATTAAGTTGTATTTCCACCATGATGGCAGTAACGCTGGAGAGGTATTTTGCTATTTGCCATCCTCACAGTTTCAAGAAATGGTTTTCTACTCGAAGAGTGAAAATGGCCATAGTAATTTGTTGGTTATTAGCCATAGCTTACTACATTCCTTATTACATTAAAGCTAAATGTAGAGATGTTGACTATGAAATTGCACAAGTTTATTCTCTTTTGTCAATGATTTTGGCAGTGTTGGAGCTTGTGTTTTTGATCATCCTCTCGACAAAAATCTACGTGTCGCTTTGGCTGAAACCGACTGGCATCCATCCTTCTGCATCACAAAGAGAGTTAGAAGAAAGAAAACTAAAGAAAAAAGTCACACGTTGTGTACTTGCTGTCGTTGGATCGTTTGTGTTGAGTTATATTCCATTCTTTACCATACAAGCATTGTCCAAATACCACATCCTCTCGGACAATAATTTATTTGGTTTTTCACCAAAGAAACTCATTGATCTCTTCCTGGCGATTAATGCTGCTGTGGATCCATACCTTTATGCCTTTCAGAATACTAGACTTAGAGGTTTCTTGAGAAAACTTCTACTTTGTGGGAAGACAGCAAATGGGCAACAGGAATGAACTTATAAAAACGTTATTACCTGAACTACTGAACGAAAAGTGAGTCCAAAAACCGGCATTAACAGCAAATGGGTTGAATTGGGAAAGAAGGAGGAATATTCCATTCTATACTCTGCCTAACGATCCCCGGCTAACGCCGCGAATTTGGAGAGRGGTTGTGGACTCATTCAATCCACCCTTAGAACAGTCGAATGTTCTTCTCCAAGTGAAGTGGCTTTTTTCATTACATTTACATTAATTTCATTCCTTATTACATTTAATCATGTAATGAAAAAAGCCACTTCACTTGGAAATAAAAAATGCCACGCCATGTGATTATATACCGAGCAAACGTTTTTATGAAAACCAGAGCCGCAGAAAAGGAGTTTTTGATGTCTGTTAATAGATTCCCATCCATGGGGAGCTTTTTACTTCTTGATATGCGTGCCACCCACAATTTCAATTCATAGCTGATTCGACTGGTTGACTGTTTGTCTTTCCGAGTGGTTTTGGCGCAAATCATTTGTTTTCGTACTTAGTGATATCGTATAATATTCGTGTTTATATATAAAGATGCAGTTAGCGTGGTTTTAAACCAGAAATAAAAATTGGGTGGTATAGAAATCTATTATCATGATAAATAATGTATTCTACTAGTTTTTTTTATTGACTACATGTAATTAATTAATGTGTACTGTCCATAATTTTAATTTGTTTTTTCATGCTCCACGATATCTTTTCTGACGGCTGGCGCAACGACGTCAAAACGCTAGAAATATCGAGGCAGAAGTAATATCCTGTCTTTCTCAATTTTCCAAAATAGCTAGCCCGACTTCACGCTCTAAGAGTTTGAATGCTGGAGTGATTGGAATCCTTTGGGTTACCTGTGTAATCCAAGCTTGACAAGTGTAATCTTAAATTTCAGCTTGAGAGAATAAAACCTCGAGATCAATTAGAATAGCAACATCAACAACACAGAAAACTAAAAGAGAAAAAAAGCCGAAAAAGAAAAACGACAAAGAAAAAGAAAAACCATAACAAACGAAAAACATACATTTTATGCCCACAGCAGGACTCGAACTCTTGCTTTTCATACGAATGTAACTTACACCCCCCCGGATATCTGATTAAAATATGGAAAATACGAAAAAATGAAAAATGAAAAAGTTGGGACGATTCCCCCGAGACATTCTATGAAGCTGAGGCGTCGAATCGGCTTACGTTACGGTTAGAGATTTCGGCTCTTCCACGCTATCCCGAGTGAACATAAAACTTAGTCTTAACCAAAAGGCCAGGGAGTGAGGGGGTAGCCGCCCACTAGAGCATACCTCTAGCTACCCTCTTAGACCATCGTACTATGAAGTCACTGATAGATATCTAATACCTAATTGGGGTAGTCTATTCGGTGAAGTTCTATGCTAATATATGACGTCATCAACATCCTTAGGGAGCAGCGAGCCAATCAGATTATCATATAAGTTTAAGTGACTTTTTGTCAAATGGGAAGACGTCTGGTGGGAAGGGGGGAGGGAGGGGTGGGGGATCATCTCATTTCTCCGACTCTTTACCATTTTTGAGAGTCGTGACAGTGGATCTTGTCACGTGATAGATTTGCGTGACATAGGCAAAACAAGATGGCGGCTTCCAGTGGAGGTAGTTGTGTTGCTGCTGAAGTTCCCTTCCGTGACTTGTGCGGGTTGTTGGAGAAAATATCCAGCACAAGTGGAACAGAAAAGAAAAGAAATTTATTGAGTAAATTCATTGACGCTTGGAGAGGAGCGCATACCAAAATTCATGGTGATTCAAAAACGGTTAGTGTTCGCTTATTTCCAACACTAAGATAAAACCTTATGAAAGACAATTGTACAATTTAGCTTTCATCTTATGCAAACTTGACTTACAGACAGACTCCCTATATCCAGCAATAAGACTACTACTGCCTCAACTTGATAAGGACAGATCAGCATATGGAATGAAAGAGGTGAGCGTTAACAACACTTTCCAGCTGTACCCTTACTTTGAGCAGAGTTAGAGGAGACTAGTCTCCTCTACTAACTCTGCTTTGAGCAATGGTGTATATTGTCCAGTATGACAGGGAATGATTAGATGATTTTAAAATGTGTTCAATTGGTGAAATTAGAATTTATATTGGTGACTATACATGTGTAACCATATTCATATTTGTTGATATATACTGCAGTCAAATCTCCACTTGTGGAGGCTCTTGTAAGTTACATCGACAACTCCAACTCGTGAACAGCTTTCCAAAACCCTGTTTTTCAATTCTTTCACACATACACTATATATGATGCACACTTTCTCATAAGTGGACAGCTGGAACAATAGACACTTTTTCTGTTTCCAAAGGATGTCGGTTTATGGGAGATTTGATTGTTATTCAATAACATTAGTGTCTGTTATTTTGAAGTGCTTTGAAATATTTGCATTAGGTTGTTCTTGCAAAGTATTATATTGAAATACTCAGCATAAGCAAAGACAGTGTTGATGGCCGGAAACTACTGAATTATCGCAATCCTGGAGCAACAAAGCAGGTTTGGATCTTTATTGATAGCAGCATTCAACGAAATAACAACAACAGCCCTCTCTTTTTATTCCTTTTTTTAGCCACTGTAGTAAAAACTGCATGTATTTTATTAATATAATAAGATATTTATTTGACTTTGAGTATGGATTCAAAGTGACAATTCCAACAAAAATAAGAACGCTATAAAATGTACTTTAAAACTTAAATTAATATAACAGCTGTATTAAAATCTCTCTTAGTATCCATTTAATTGTATTTACATATATCTGCATGTGTTATAAAGCAGTCCATAAATTGAACTGTTGCTTTTCCATAGGGTTTGGCTACTGACTTTGCCAGTGTAGCATATTTTGTTCTTAGAAGTAGATGTCCAACCCAAGGAAGGTATTCACCCAAACTGTAGTGCATGATTATAGATAACAATGTTGTAGTTTTACTTGGAAAGTTCAATAAAAAGCAATGGCTGTTGAATAGACTTTTGATTTATGAATTGCAATTTTCAGTTTAAATGTTGAGCAAGTCAACAAGTACCTTGATGATATTGCACAAGCAAATTTGGTCAAGAAAAGAGATGAAATTAAAAAAACTTTGCAAATTTTGCTAAGAAATACCAACGCTATTGAACAGGTATGTGTTTCCTGGATATGTTTCAAGATTAGTAAACAAAAACATCTTATTTTACCATAACTTGTAGAATTCTCTTGCGCTGATTGGTCGAGAGCTGTTGTTGATCGTAGGACAGACCGATGAAATGACGAATCGCTCRCGYACGGAGCYGKMGCSCGCCAGAAACGATTTTGTTTTGAAAGTTTTACTTTGTTTTCGGCTTTGTTATGGTAAAAAACAAATCGAAATAGCTTTTCTATGGTCTGTATGCTTATCTACAGACCATAGAAAAGCGAATTCGATTTGTTAATTGTATGAAGTCTACAAACTGTTGCTCATTATACATTGTATCAGCATAGCTAGTAACTATTGTAACAATGACACATTTCTTTGCCAAGTAAAAGAATGATTGATTGATTGATTAATTGATTGAATGATTGATTCATGTCAACCAATCTAAAAATAAATAAATGAAAAAACATTGGAATGAGTAAATCATTAAAGTGAGGAAGCAATCAACTCATTTTATTTCTACAGAAATGGCTTATCAGGATCATTCTAAGAGTAAGTGATTTTCTTTCTATTGCTGTCCAAGAACACCTAGCTATTTACCATAAAGAAGTAGTGATGATTTATTGAAAACTGATTTTATCAATTTGTAGGATCTTAAAACTGGTTTAAGTGAGAACTCAGTCCTTGGTGTGTTTCATCCTGATGCTCTTGAGCTGTACAATATTTGTAACAGTCTAATGAAGGTATGTGATTAGTGTCTCCTTGTTTTAAAAGCCCAGAGGATTCTGAGAACCTTGAAAAAAAATTGACATCAGTAAACAAAACAAACATTTACAAAGTTTCTTGGGTGCACATCAGCCTTTTTGAGGGATGGAACATTGAGATAATATTGTAGAGTTAACATTTTAGGTTTGTCAAGACCTTCATGATCGTTCCATCAGGATGAATGAAGTTGAAATTACACTTTTCTCACCATTTCGACCAATGCTAGGTCAGAGAGGCTCATTGGATGAGGTATAACAATTGACTTATCATAATTATTATTGTTATGATGATGATGTAGCCCCCATTTTGTCTTAATCAAAGATTGAGAAGCTGATGGAGCACCAAACTTTCTATATCGAAGAGAAAGTTGACGGAGAGCGAATGCAGCTTCATAAAGATGGCAACAACTACAAATATTACTCCAGAAGGTAATTCAAGTCTTGAAGTTATCAAATTGTTGTGGAGATAATGTTTTATCTTATTTTTTGCTGCAGTGCTAATGAGTACACTCACGTATTTGGTGCAAACTCTAAAGATGGTTACCTAACTCCTCACATTGCTGACTACTTTGACAGGTAAGTTTTTACCAAAGTGAATTGTTTCTTGATAACTAACAAAGTTGTTCACAAACTGTAGGTTTTTCTTTTTTTATGGTATAAGTAGTTGAGATCATTTTGTCTATAATCTTAATAAAAAATAATTATTTTTGCTTCAGTTCAACCAAGTCATGTATTCTAGATGGGGAGATGGTTGTTTTTGACACTGAAAATGATGTGTTTTTGTAAGTCATCCATGCTATGTAACATTATTTAATACATGAAGCAAAGTCAAATGAATTAGTTTTAATGATTATTTTCATCACAGAACCAAAGCAACAAATCTGGATGTCAAATCAGACTCAACATATAACAAAGGTCATCACCCATGTTTCATTGTGTTTGACATTCTCCTTCTGAATGGAAAAAAGCTGGCAAATGTGCCGTTAATGGAAAGACTGTCATCACTGACCAAGTAAGTGCATCATGTCACTACAATCTGTGTTCTATTAAAGAATTTACAATGTTTGTTTTGAAGGGTGTTCAAGTCTCGACCAGGTTATATCCAGTGCGTTGACAGGAAAAGTGCTACCACAAAGTAAGTCACCAGAGCAATTCAATCGAAGGTTGGTTTTCATTGTGCATATCATTTTAAAAGATATTTGCTTGTTATAGAGCTGAAGTACTTAGTGCTCTTAATGACGCTATTGATCGACGTGAGGAGGGTTTAGTCATCAAATCACCAAACTCTGTTTACAAACCTAATGTCAGAAATGGTAATACAATGTAATACATATATTCACCTGTCTTCATATCAAACTCCATATCATGTCTTCTCTTCATCACTACTTCAGCCTACACTCTGTTCTTCTTCATTCTTCCATATGGTATAATTTTATGTATAAATTGCATATTTGGTAAATATCATATCAATTGGATTTTTTGATTAATATTTATTTTGAATACAGGAAGTGGTTGGTTGAAAATCAAGCCAGAGTATGTGGATAGCTTGAGTGAAGATGTATGTAATAGTGAATCTATGGTATTGTGATATATATGGTATTGTAACTATTATTGTTTTCACAGCTTGATGTTCTTATAATGGGTGGTTATTTTGGAGTTGGGGTAAGTGAAGAACCAGCTATTTAACTAACCAAGAAGTCTCACTTACTTCACCTCCCTTGTGTTTTACTTTTGTTGTAATAATTTAACCATTTCATCCAACAACATCAATTGGCATCTTACAACTCTTCATTCACTATATATTGCTGCCACAGTATGTAAAATGTTTCAAAATACTAGAAGCCTTATAATGAGTTATGCCCTTGTTTTCCAGCGTCGAAGTGGTATGGTATCTCATTTCCTGTGTGGTGTGGCTGTCCCACCGGACCATCGAGGTCAACATCCAAACCAGTTTTATTCATTCTGTAAGGTAATGTCCAGGCAAAAATGAATGGATTTATATCCATTTTTATTCTGTTGTTTCATTTTCTTTCCTTTTGTTTTGTTTTTAATTGCTGACATTGTTAAGGTTGGTACTGGGTACACGCTAAATGAACTGAAAGAACTTGGTCAAAAGTTAAAACCACATTGGCAGCCGTTTAAGACCAACAAACCACCAACAAGTATAATACTGGCATCTGGATTCAAAGTAAATTACTGTTTTGATACTGTGTTGTTTTTATTTGTTTGTTTTTGCCATAGCTGTGAAATCTTCCTTCCTTTCCCAGATTCCATCCTTGCTTATTCTTTCTTTATCTTTTTTCCTACTTTCTTTCATTCATTCTGTCTTTATCTTGTCCTTTCATTGGTTACCTCAATTAACTTTGTATCAATTACAGGAAAAGCCAGATGTATGGATTGAGCCGTCCAAGTCAGTGATTGTACAGGTCAAAGCCACTGAAATCATTGCTTCAGAAAGGTAAGACTTAAGTTTAACAATTTACTGCAACATTCAATGACTGGTACCATTTTATTGCTTAAGGTTCAAGGCAGGAGTGACTTTGAGGTTTCCAAGGTTGGAATGTGTGCGAGATGATAAAAAATGGTATGACTGCCTGGACGTAAAAGAACTACACAAGTTACGAACAGTAAGGATGAGTACATGCATGTTATTGTTGTTAACATTTGATGTTCTAAGCAGTCGAGTTTGGAATATACAGATCATGCATGGTTATCATGGCTAAATCGATGATGGCATAATTGTTGGTTATGGTCATGATAGTTTTGGTAGGAAAGAAGAAAGGTCATTAAAATAGAAGTACATTCGACTTTCCACGTGTCATGAGTAGCTGAGAGAAGCTCGTCTCCGCGGCTGGACGGTTGGATCCCGGGGGGGGGGGGCTCCCTTATAAAAAAGGGCGGGGGTCCTCGTCGGAAATTCTGAAAATGACTCCTAAAAGGGATCTGTACTGCGAGATGATGGGCGTGGCAGTGCTGAAATTTCACCACTAAGAGGGACCAATCAATAAACGGTTACTTTGTTTTGGTTTCCCGATTTTATTTGTGCACAAGCATCAAACTCCCTTGGATCGTATTGAGTTTATGACGACGTTGTCATATACAAATATATGATGACGGCTTAGGGTCGTCGTATACCCTAAAATGGACCACAAAACTTTGTTGGTGGGAATTTTATAACCCTAAGCGGGACCAAAACACTGATTTCAAACCCTAAAAGGGACGACGAGGACCCCTGCCCTTTTATATTATGGACCCCCCCGGGGGTTGGGTTGTCTGTACAGTGTCCGGGGTTGGAACAATATTGTTAGCAAGATACTCACAGTACTTCAGGCGTTAGTAATCCTACGTTGGTAGATCAATAAATCGTCCGTGTTAGGGCTCAGTTCATTTCATCATTACACACATGTCAATCATTATCGTAAATCCTGATAATTCTATTGATTTGAACACCAGATAGCTCAAGGAAAGCTTACACATCAACACACAAACCCCGATGACACATCCCAACAACCTTCACGTAAGAAAAGACGCGTGGCCCCGCGCATTGAACAACCTCGCGCTGTTGCGGCGCAGTTTCGACCTGCAGACGTGTCTTCTGTTATAGAGGTAATCTCATTTTTTGTTTCTGTATTAAAGCATAGTTAGTAGATGAATGACGCACGACACGTAAGAGGAATATCCAACTCCAAAGAATGAAAAAAATATTAGAAGGACTTTCTTAAGCCAGTTTTGCTTCCCTCTATCAAGTGATTGAAACTAAAATGGCTCATTTAACAAACGCATAACAATCTTTTCACTGGATTTATTTATTTTCAATCTTGTAGGTATCAAAACTTTTTGATGGCAAGGAGTTCTGTGTTATAAACGGACCATCTACTCACTCAAAATCCATTCTTGAGAAGAAAATTGTTGAGGTAACTATTTCAGAAACCTCTCGCCATCCTAACATACGCCTAATATTGATGAAGGAACATCAAAAACGAATCCTTTTGATTTTTAGAAGACATTGTCTCAATTCTCATCTTGTAATACGGTTGTATTTTGTCTTTGACAGCATGGAGGGACATTCACACAGAATCCTGGTCCCGAGACATTTTGTGTTGTGGCAGATAGGCTCAACTTACGGGTCAATAATATCATCAAGTAAGATGGTAGAATCAGTTGCTCATGCATGAACAAACAAATGGACGAATGAGATTGAATGAATAAATGTGAAATGTGAATTGGAAAATAGGAGGGAGTAACTCTTTCAGTCGGATAAATGGATCGTACAAGAATGAAAAAGAAGGCATGAAAAATACTAGAATTAACCAACAACTAAATTTCCAGTTATCATTCAGTGTGTCTTTCTAAACTTTGTTTTTTTTTTTGTTAATTCTATATTGTTAGAGATGCTAAATACGATGTTGTTAAGGCTTGTTGGCTGGTAGATTGCCTGGTAAGTGGACGTGGACGAAGTTGTAATGGACGTCAACGAAAAATTATTTACTTTTCTTTTTCTTTTTTTCTATTTTCTTTACCTTTATTTATTTACTTTTCTGTTCAAACTCAGGATCGAAAAACGCTGTTACCTTGGTTACCTAGTCACATGTTCCATTCCTCGCCATCCACCGAGAAGCAGTTTGCTATGGAATACGATTGCTATGGTGACAGCTTTACACAAGATGCAACGGTGGATTCCTTGAAAAAAGCCTTTAATGACTTTGATAAAGATGTAAGTTGGGGGAGTGAGTTGGCTTTGGGTAGATGTTTGTGGGTTGGTGTGGTTATCGGAAATGAGTGTTATTGAGAATTATGATAGTACTATGATTACAGTGATATAATAGCTTAGTAATTATAGATATAGAGGACTGAATAATCATAATTCACCAGGATACCGCCCCAAACCATGCCATCACTCTTGACGAGATTGCCGAGATAGAACAACGTTATTATCCAGGCGATTCTCCCCTTGGTTTATTTAGACCATGTCGGTAAGAAGTGATTGTGTGATTGATTGTCCATTTATTAATTCTTTTAAATGTTCATTCATTTTTTCTTACATTCATTGGATTTTTTAGTCATTCTTGTATTAGTTTAAGATTTGATTGATTATGAAAAATCTGACTGAGTTAAACGAAAATAGGTTCAGTTCCAGGATTGATAATCATTTATATAGAAGTAATTGGCTCGATCTCCTGTCTGAACATGTTCCATTCTTAATCCATTAAATCACTTCTGTTTTCAGTGTATATTTGGATCAATATAAAAACATAGATGACAGCACCACGGTACGTATCCAACTTCTTCAGCTTCTTGATTTTTAAATCGAGAAAAAATTAAAATCGCTATTGGGGCATTTTACAATCAATTATCTTTCGTTGTTTTTCACGATAAGAAACATCATAGTACAGTCAATAGAGAACTGTCTTCCTGGTTGGTTTCCCGGGGGGGGGACACTAGAAAGACATTAAAAATACATACCCTGTTCAAGACAAATCGGAAAAATATATACTGACATCCATCAAAGAAAATGAGAAGTTTTTGATAACACGTTACAGCGGAAATCGTTGCATCGCGACCTCTTTGTTTTGAAGTTTGTCTGGATTTTGTTCTTTCTTTCAATCTGAGGGGCGGAGCTTTTCGTAAACTCGTTCAATCATTGGCTGATTAGTATCAAGCTCCGCCCCAAAGTTGAACATTGAAGTCGCGATGCAACGGTTTCTGCTGTAATCCTGCCGTGAAACGGTATTTCTTATGAAATATTGCCCTGTCCAAGATGCAAGCCTGTATATGTATACCCTGTTTAAGACAGCAAGGCCAAAAACCATACCCTGGCCAGCGGCACGTCCCCGTATAGCAAATATATATGGGAGTACCCTCCCCCCCCCGGCCCCGGGGGTTGATTTGCCTGCCCTGTGAATGCCAGGAATACTAAATGCTCATGAATGTACTGTATTTATAAGGGCATCAAGGACTGTAGTTTAGAGGTAACAGCACTTGAACTGCGCATGTACGGCGCATCAATAAGTAAAGAATTTGACGAAAATGTCACTCATGTGGTCGTAGACATAAGGTAAATCATGAACTAAATGCACAAAAAACAAGCACTAAAGAAACGAAAGAAAACAAAATTCATCAGTCTTTAAATATAATGTCAAAACTGAAATTCTGATTTGTGATCAAAATAGTTCATTAGTGTCGCTGTCAGACCGATGTCGGCACTGATCCAGATCGAAACAGCTGTCGAAAGAGAAGAACGAAACATAACAATATAAACAATTTCCCGCATTTTATAAAAATAAACTTCTTTCATTTCTGTGATTTAAGTGTCATTTGGTTTTCTTCCTTATTGGAATCATCAATGAAGATTATTTATACAAACTATTCATGTGGCCTCATGAATCTCTCGAAAAAGTGATATCTTGCTAAAGTCAATGATAGGACTGAAATCCTTGCCCAACAATGCAATATCGTATTCTTTTCATGGTTTGCCATGTATTCTTACATTACATAATCTCTGTTCTAGAGATCTCTCTCGAAKCCATCAACTGCGTACTAAGATGAGGAGTCGCCATCAAAAACACCATATCGTCAGCCAAGACTGGGTATCTCAAAGTATTGAACAACAGAAGTTACAACAAGAACTCCTTCACTCTGTACAATTGGATACATAGCATTACGCCCAAGACAATGTCTATTTTAAATGCTTGAAAAATCGAATGAAAAGTGAAAGAAATTGGACGAAATTATTATTGTATATATTGTTCGTGTTTGTTCTAATTCTTTCCATTTCCTGGCTGTCTGAGCTGTCAGCCGAAAGTTAAAATCATATGAGTTCAAACCTATGATCCAATATAGTACACATAGATTAAAAGGTGGTTGGTACAAGTTTTCAAGGAATAAGAATATATTTTGTATACCAGTGTATTTGTTATTGATCATCTTACCAATAGTTTTTTAAGTGATTTTGTTTTTTATTTGTCTCTATTCTCATTTTTGTGGACTTAGACATCAAAAACTCGTCCATACAAGCATAGTTCAGTGTGACAATTCGAATTCCCTGATGAGCTCTCAGAATATACAAACATGCAATCTTTATCATTGTTCAATATCAATGATGGATATACGATTAACAACCATCGTTTTCTTCCGATGAAATACTTTATTTTATGGAAATTTTAGACCGGAAGTATTTTGACTGAAGGTGTGAAATTTACCTGAAATCCCTGGACCCGACATCCGGTGGCCGAGAAGAAACGACAAAGCAAGGCTAGGGTTGATTGTCAGAGCTGCGGCTGAATGTGACCAAAACACTTCGGTTAAAAAGTATACCTCAGTTGAATAATGCTTTTCATTGACAGGTAGTACAGAAAATGTAAAGATAAAAAATCTTTCTCTGACGATTAAGCCTTATTCGTGAGACAATCATCGATGGCGACTTGCCATTTGATTTCAAAATGCTGGATGTTGACATGGATTTCTGTGCTCATGTTGTCGTCTTCGATTATTTCAGGTAAGAAGATACATAGCCCTTCAAATACGGCAAGGATATATTGAAATGGAAGTCCTAGTTTTCATACGTTTTCAGCTTAATTGGTTGATGTTGTATAGAAAACTAACTTGTAATTAATAATTGTAAACTGCAAACTACTGTACACACAGTCAGCACGACCTCCTGCAATTGATCCAAGCAATTTCACGTAGGTTGTCTCTTTGCCTTGGTCTCACAGACCACATAATAAAAAAGCTTGATTCCATCTGCTCTTAAAGATGACTTTATGTTTGTCGCTTCTGTGTCCTTTCTTGAGATACCTCTGAATTGTATTGTGATTAAAGTTTTAGCGTAAAAGCTTAAACGGGCTTTGGATTTGTAAAACACTTAGTAATTATTTCTTTGAGCAATGTAAAACGATTTCAAAAACTCTGAACTCTTCCTTTATTTGAAATTAATGAACCTGGCACTCTTTAATTAATCTGAGAATAACTTTAATTTCTGAATGACAATTTATTTACGAGTCAAAATACGGCGTGTCTTGATACTAATTCAGTCTTATTATAATATTGTAGAATTCCTCTACATGTTTTAGAGAAATTCATAACTCTTTGATATATTTCCTAATTATTTGGCTTCTTTATTTACATTTCACGCTGTGGGAGCCTCCCCCTCCATGTGCCAATCACGTGGTTTAAAATATATTCACTTTCTAATACTTCATGTATTCGTAGAATTGTCACTTCACATAAAAACAATTTCAAATCAGAACAAAAATATGTCTGAACGCTTAAAGTAAATGAGCTTTGTTTTTTTTATAGAATAAGATGATTAGTAATGACAGATCTGCCACTTGTTGCATTTTCTGGTATTTTTTTAGGCAAAGAGCAAAAAGTGGTTTATTTCTTCAAACAATTTGTAAAGCACTTAACTATTGACCTGACTTTTCAAATTTAGCTCAAACTAATATTATTATTATTTAATATTAGTAATAGTGGTATTATACAAATATTGAACTGCTGGTCAAGGCTGGTTTCCATGGTGTGTAGTTTGTTAGATGACCTGAAACTATAGTCACCCCTATAGTATTTTCTGTGCTCCTTTTCTTGTCAGTCATATTCAACAGAAATGTCAGAGGGGAGGGGAGTACTGCCACCATAACTTGTGTTAGAAAAACCCTATCTCTGAACTAAATTCCAATTTTTCATATACAACCCCAGACTAAACTTAACATTGTACTACATAGACTACAAACATTAAATATGTGCAACACTTTCCACTATTTACTACAAAATAGTGTTAATTAAATAATAGAAAACACTAGAATTAGCATAATTTAGCATTATATAGTGGTATTTATGTTGCACAGTTTTAGTGTTTGTACTCTGTTTTCGCTGCAGCCTTTATATATTTACTAAATTTTAAATAATTTCGATGAATCTGTGACGATATAGAACATGGGTTATTTCACTAAAACCGACCAAAACCTAGCCCTATCCCAGACCTAAAATGAACAAGTAACCCTATCCTAGACAAAAACCCATACCCTATCCCAGATCAAATGTCAAAAAAGCATATCATTCCAAAGACAAAAAGCTGAAGCATACCCTATAGTGCAGCACATACCCATATAGCAAATATACTGTAGGTGGTTAGAGAAATTTGAGCTGTTTTTGTTGTTTCTCAGCAACTGATACCTCATTGCAGCTATGTCTACCATTCATACCTAGTGGTGTTGCCTGGGGATTGGCTTTTTGTGACAGTACTAATGTACCTTAGTTAATGTCAGAACTACAGATGAATCAATCTGAATCACTATTTATTTTTTATATTCATTTTATTTCTATCCTTTTCATGTATTCCTTCATATTTACAATATTTTCAATGCTCATTTTCAGGAGAAGAGCCACAACCAACATCAAAAGAGCCAGGACCAGAGACAGAAGAACCAACTGGAAAACCAATTATGAGTTCACACAAGAGTATTCAGCCTAGCTCAATTATTAATTCTCAGAAATCCTCTTTTGGTGGATCTAAGACCTCAAATAGTTTTATGATTCAAACAAGTTCACAGACAGTATCAAGTAATAAACCTATTGTTCCAAGTACTTCACATTCTTGGAGTTCTACAGAAATTGTAAGCACAGTTAAGTCAAGGACTTTGTTTAGTAGTAGCAGCATGTCTCCATCAAGACATGTTGCATTTTCCAAAACATCAAACTTTTATAGTTCATCTGAAGTGAGTTATAGTCAGTCCATAAAGGAATCGTCAGTGAAAGTAATAATGACTTCCACAGTGTCTCCTATGAGAACACACTCAACTACCATCTCATACAGAGCATCAGAGATCTCTGCAACATCCAGTACTTATTCATCAACTGCTGACACTTCTACTTCTATATCACATAGCAAATCATTGCTTTCTACAAGTTCTTTTAATGTGGTGCATCCAACAAAATCATCTTCTACAACTATGATTACAAGTAGTTTACATGCTGCACCAAGCACATCTTTGAGTAAAAGTAGCTTATATACTGTTGACATGCTGTCATCAGTGATTTCTAATTCAACATCATCTATTGGTACTGTTATTACTAGCAGCCCACTGTCTATTATTGCACCAACTACAACATTAAAGAATAGTCCTTCAAGTGATATGATATTGAGTAGTTTATCATCTGGTATTATAGCCAGTGTAGCAATGACAAAGAGTATGAATATATCAACATATATGGCAACAAGAAGTATATCATCTGGTGTATATGCACCCAGTACATCAATAAAAACAATAGTAAGTAGTATAATGTCTGACATCATACCCTACACGACAAAGCAAAGCGACACTGCAACATCAAGTTCAGTAAGCAGTGAGGTGAATGCATCAACTTCAAGTCCAGGGTTATCAAGTCAGATAGTTGTTACTCCATCTCCTTCCATGCTCCAAACATCAACTCTACCATCATCCACACCATCAACCCGCACGCCATATTTAACTACTGCAAGAAGTTCATCATTGACTTCAATATCCTTTGATGTAAGCTATGTAGTTACACCAATTGTATCATCATCACCAGTATCGTCATCTTCAGTACTCCCCGTATATACCAGCACAACAAAGCAAAGCGACACTGCAACATCAAGTTATAGTTCAGTAAGCAGTGAGGTGAATGTATCAACTTCAAGTCCAGGATTATCAAGTCAGATAGTTGTTACTCCATCTCCTTCCATGCTCCAAACATCAACTCTACCATCATCTGCAACATCAACTCACACGCCATATTTAACTACTGCAAGAAGTGTATCATTGACTTCAGGATCCTCTGCTGTTAGCTATGTATCCTTTGTAACCTCTGTAATTACACCAACTGTATTGTCATCACCAGTGCTCTCTGTTACTTCAGCTTTTAAAACTACTCCTACCTCATCATTTCTTCCAATGTCCACATCTGTTCTTCCAACAATGCTGCCTCCAAAAGGTAGGAAATCTTACAAATACCATATATACTGTATTATATACTACATAGAGCCTTTGATGAACAACAGATATAAGTGGTACAAATGTATTGCTGGCTAAACAATATTTCATAAAAGAAGTCGTGTTAAGTGTAGAGTGATAACAAGTTAAGCAAATTCAGCTTAAAGTTATAAATAGAATAATGCTATTACTTAGTTGTTTATAAAAAAAAAACATTACTGTCAAAGTTAAATTCAAGCCTTATTTCACATTGCTTTTGAATTCTTTTAGCACCCTCCTCACCCCCATTAGATGTTGCAGTCTACAACACAAGTACGACCTTCGTCATCGTATCATGGAAGACACCACCAGAGGAAACACTCAATGGAAAACTGAATCATTATGAAGTCGATGTACAAAAGATTGACTCTTCTGCTTGTCAGGAAAATGTCACAAATACTTCTTTCAGTACACCACCAAGTTCTTCAGCTAATAGTGTTAGCAGTAGCTATGATAGTCAAGTAAGTCTGGAACCTACATCAAGTGTCAAGACAGTGCTTGCATTGTCATCTAGTGTGAAACCAACAGAACCAACAGGACCACCTAAGCCTCCATTAAGCTTGACTGGTTTAATTAATGCTGGATTAAACCTAAGTAAAACTATTAACAATCTAGAAGTGTTTACATGTTATGGGATTAAAGTCAGAGCCTTTACATCCTTACCTGGCCCATGGAGTCCACTTGTACTAACAAGAACAATGAAATCGGGTAAGAACTTGACTTTTAATGTATTTAAGGAATAAAAGACGAAATTCCGTGTTTGATACTCTGATCAAAACACGCGGGATGTAGGGAGAGCACGAGAGAAGCGTAGGAAACCACGACGCGTAGCGGAGTGGTTTCCAGCTTTTCGAGTGCTCTCCCTACATCCCAAGTGTTTTGATCAGAGTATCAAACATGGAATTTCGTCTTTTATTTCTTTTCTAAAATTAAAAGAAAAAAAGAAATTTTTGACGTGCGCGAGCGTGTTTTGATACTGTAATCAAACATGGTTTTCGACCAATCACAGCGCGCGTAGTATCCTAAATATTTTAGAATTCATTATCTTGCATTATCTTGTCTGCCTTGCCTTGCCTGGTCTTGACTTACTTTGGCTTGCCACATTCTAACTTTTATTTATTTTGATTTGCAAGTTTAATTAGATATGATGATGAAATTTCTCAATTTATATTAGAGCCAACATTTCCACCTCAAAATGTGACAGCTTCTACAATGTCATCAACATCTATTTTAGTACAGTGGTTGCCACCTCTTCACATATATGGAGTTATCAAGCATTACATTGTAGAATACTTCAGTGCTACACAAAGAAATAACATAACTACAGCAGATAATTCAACAAGTCTTAACTTGACTTCATTACTGCCATATACAACATATTATGTGAGGGTTAGAGCTGTAAACGCTGCTGGTCCTGGTCCTCCTAGTGAAAACGTCACCAGCACAACACTGGAAGATGGTAATAATGGTTCTGGTATCTAATGAACTTATAAACCTGTCATTCTCTTCCTAGTGTCTCTGTTTGTACAATGATTGTATAGTTTGTATTCATATTTTTATAATAACTTGTACATTTCTCATGCACTGATTGGTCTAGAGCTATTGTCACTGAGAGTTTTGGCAATGGCAATGACGCTTACTGCGTAAGTGGAACCATGAGCATAAGCAAGTGGTTTCACTGCAAAGTTTTGAGAATTTTTGACATCAATTTCATTGTGAATAAGAGTACAGACAATGGAATTGTTTGCGAATTGTTTTTTATAATAAAAAGTAGATTTCTCCATTTGAATCGTGCCATTGTCAAAACTCTCAGTGGCAATAGCTTTCGACCAATGAGCACATGAGAAATCTACAAGTTATTATAAAATTTGTATTTGTATTGATCTCACTGTCATTTCATGTTTTGTCTGTCTCTTTCTGTCTTTGAGAATAGCGTTGTCAATTATTTCATGGGCAAATTCTGTCTGTCTTTAAGACAACTGGTCCCTTTATCTATCAAGCTGAAACTCTTTCTATACCACTTTTTATCTTTGTATATAGCACCAAGTCCTCCAACTAACTTCACCATCCAGAGTGTGAATGCTACAAGTCTGTATACAAGATGGAGTCCTCCAAACAGACTCAATGGTGACTCAGTAAAATACAAACTGTATTACAGACTAACAGCTCATAACAATAGTAAAGATGCAGCGGCTTATGATGGTGAAAACACAGAGTTTGTTCTTACTGGACTACAAAAGTTATCTAACTATACCATAAGACTGTTTGCATATAATTATGAGTTTCATAGTCAAGAATTTAGGGCCTTTGCATTCACACTCCCCACTGGTATGTATGTATTTTTATTATTTAACCTTTCAAATCCAACCAAAAATATCTGATTAAACATCTTTGAATTCCAATAATTTGACCATAAGATTGTAAAACACATATTTTATACTACATAGGAGAATTATGGTACACTTAGCATTGTAGCTTCATGCAGTGAGTTTTGAAAAATGTTGTATTTTATATATTAATGATAGTTTTATGGTAAAATATCAGTTGCCACAGAACCTCTTGGCCTCCAGGCATGGAATATCAGTTCAACCTCAGTTTTTGTTACCTGGCAACCACCAAAGCATATCAATGGCATCCTTACAAATTATAAGGTGAAATCAAGAATTCTGAAGATTCTTTTCAATCATATTTGAGAGCATGATATTTTTCATTAATAGTCTAGAGTACTATTTAGTTAAATAGTAATGTGATAAAGTTAGATCGTTATTTCATTTACCCTCTATTCTCAGTTTTACTAAATTTGCTTTCCTGTTTTATTCATCAGGTATTTTACAAACCTAACGACAGCTCATCTATCCCTGGGGAAGTTCTAACCAATCTGTCAACTAATATAACTCTACATTCAATGCGTGTATACACATTGTATATCATCTATGTATGCGCTGTTATTGATCAAGAATGTGGTTTACGTGCAACTGTTTTTGTCATGACTGGGGAAGGGGGTAAGTCTTTTCTAACTCAGTGAAGAAAGTTGTGTTGATCACAGCTCTTGACAGTATTGAACATGTTTATATGTATTTGTGGTTTTAGTTCCAAGTGAAGTACGTTCCTTCAGTCAATATGACAAAACATCAACTACAGTGGGGTTGAAGTGGAATTCCCCTGAGTATCCTAATGGACTCATTGGTTATGAATTATTGTATGGCAAGTTGGCTGACTTCAAGTTGCTGAAAACACTAGAAACAAATGTAACAATTTCAAAGCTGTTGCCCTACACTAACTACACGTTCATAATTAAGGCATACAACTTGAGAAGTAGTCAAAGTGGTCCTTCAAGGAATATTACTATACAGACACGAGCTAGTGGTGAGTGACTAATTAGTATTTACGTTTTTTTGTTTGTTTGGTTTTCCTGTCTCGTCTCTTTTCATTCCTTTCTTTTATATGAAATATCCATTCTTCAACTTTACCAATTTTTCCCAAAATTTCTATTTTTTTCTATGCATTTATCTTTCTTTTCTTTTGTTCCTCCTATTTTTATTCATTCTACTTTAATCTTGATATTGACAATTATTATGTGTTTTTAGAACCGTCTTTACCACGCAATGTACRACTTGTTAGTCCTACAAATGTGTCCTTGACCATTGCTTGGGATTATCCAGACCCACTGAATGGACATTTATTGTACTGCACTATAATGGTTGCTGAAGTAGGGAATAGTCAGTTTATTGACCCAGTAAAGGCGTATGTAAATCCCTGTATAGTCAAATCTCTTAAACCGTTCAAGGAGTACTCAGTGTATGTGTTTTGTACTACAAATGGAGGTTCTGGTCCAAAATCAGAGACGAAGACTTTTGGTACATTACCATCTGGTAAGACTGTAGTTAGATAACAACATTGATTATACTAATAGGCTTACTTAGCGCAATGAAGAGTTTATTTTCACTAACGTATAAAACCAAAACTGACATTCACGGTTTTTCTTTAGACTTGTTTTTTATTGTCTTGTGTCATTTTGTGTATTTTTTACAATATGTTTAACCTTGTCTAGCTCCACCTCCAGTCACGCCTATTAAGCCACCAAATAAAGACACTATCACACAAGACCAGATAGTAATAGAACTCGAAAAGGCATCTGACTCCAACGGAAAAATAAGGTACTTTTTGACTATTGCAATTTTAAAACATTAAAATGTTTTATCGTTGGAAAAATCCTTAACAGACATAAAATATGTGTTTGTGTAACAGCAGCTTTCCTTCTTTACTAAGTCTGATTGCTAATGCAAACGATAGTTTTAGCAGCTTCTAAGTTCTTTATAATGTTATGTATGTATTTATTAGCTACTACCAGGTGGTTGTGCTGGAGTTATCAAGTAACAGCGATGGAAAGGCCATCAGGCCAGACAGAAACCCTGATGATTACACTCCAAATGAACTGTATACTTACATACAAGCAAAACTACTGAAGCCAAAGCGTGTCCCATACATCGCAGCTCAATTCCCAGCCGAGGAATTCTCAAAATATCAACTATTCAAAATAGGGGACGGAAGGAATTTCAGCATAAGGGCAAGGAAACGAAGAGACACTACTGACCAGTATTATAATGGACCATTACAGCCGAGTACGTTTTATACGATGTTTCAAAGAGCGGCTGTAAACAAGGTAAAGTTTTATTACAAACATAATCACCAAGAACTTTGGTTGAACATATTTCATAAGCTTTTTCTAAAATATTAAAGTATTTTATGGGTTTTTAGGATGTGTATAGATCTACTGGATGGACTCAGCCAGTTACTACGTCAGGTAATGTATCAGTATTATGATGTAATCATCATCATCATCATCATCACTTTGCATACCAGAAGCGGTTTTCAGGAACAATTCGAAACCTGGTTTTTGATTGCTCTTTTACTACAGGACCTCCATTTAGGTTAGGCTAGGTTTTTTAGATTAGTTTAGTGTTCATTTTAATGTTTTGAAGAGCATCTATTTGTTTGCCGTTTATTGTTTTCTAAACCAATCTTTAGATTCGCTTCAAGCGACTCATCAGAAGCACGTGATAATATCTCAATACTGTATTAATCATTTCTGTCTTTTTTACACCAGATGCAGCCACTAAACAGAAGAGAAAAGAACGTTCCTCTGATACAAATATCGGTCTTGTGGCTGGGCTGTGTGTGACGCTAGTCTTTCTCATCGTTGTTGCTATAGTTGTGTTCCGGCTTGTGTGGAAGTAAGTTCTAAAAACTACCATAAAGGTAGATGTTATTGGACTAAATACGAACAGCCTAATTGTCTCTCTTTTGATACTGTTCATTTTTTATACTAAATGGAATCGGAACGCTCTTTCTTTGGTAATGAATCTATTTTGTAACAGGAAACGTCGTTTTCCATTTGGTATGATGTTGGATGATGAAGGTGACTACTCGAATCGATCGTTTAAACTCAAGAAGATAAGCAGAAGACGTACGTCTAGTCGTGGGTTGATGGGATCAACTGACTCACTTGATAACCTCGATGACATAAACAGACGTAGGTTCCGCCCTCCCTTCCTCCCTTCCTTTCTCCTTCCTCCCTTCTTCCCTTCTCTCCTTCCTTCGTTCCTTCTTTCACTCCTTCCTTCGCTCCTTCCCACCTTGCCGGCCATCTTGCTCCTTTCCTTCCTCCTTTCACATTGATTGCTCCTTTTTTTTTCTTCCTCCTTCCTTCCACCTTGCCTGCTTGCTTCCTTTCCTCATTTCTTCCTCCCTGAGTACTTCGCTCTTTTCTTCTTCACACTTCCTTCTTTACCACCCTTCCCTCCCCTCACTCGATGACAGCTTTCACGTCTACCTATCTGCCTTCCTTCTTTCATTATTTTCCCTGGAATTCCCCTACTTCCTTACTAGTATTCCTGTAATCTTTCCTTCCTGTCCGGTTTCTGTTCCTTTCTACCATTCTTCGTCTTCCTTTTCAGTCCTGTTGTTTACAATGTTCAACCACTCAGTCCTTTGACACTTCGTTCACTTTTCACCGTTTTCGTGCTCATTCTTTCGTACTTTTGGCTTTGAAAATATTTTAAGGTTGTATTTTAATGACATTATAGGAAGAGAGCCTATTCCCGTAGATGCATTTTCCAGTCATGTGCGACAAATGCATATTGATGGAGACATTGGTTTCTCTGAGGAATATGAGGTCAGTACTACTTTGCAAAGATATTTTTCAGTAGTCTGTATTCGTGTAGGAAGAAGAAAGATAAGTAATTTAATATTTACATTTCTTTTCAGCTTGTCCAACCTGACGACACGGACTTTACGTGGCAACATTCCCTGATGCCAGTTAATAAACATAAGAACAGATACGCTAATATTGTCGCTTGTAAGTTAATCGTGTACTACATTGTGTATTGTTATGATTATCTCATTAGCTTACATTGTTATTATGTACGTAGACGATCACTCGCGCGTTCTACTCGCTCCAATTGAAGGTGTTCAAGGTTCTGATTATATCAATGCCAACTACATCGATGTAAGTATTCCTTAAGACTAACTACTTGAAGCTTCCAGGCTTTATTTTCTCTAGTGATTCACTGTCAACCTAAGACTATTTCTTTTTTGAACTCTAGTTTATTTTCTTTCTTTTGTGCTTGAGAAAGCAGTTTGTTATTGTTGTTTTTGATGTATTTGATTTGATCCGATGTTTTTGTTTCATTGTTTATAGGGTTATAATCGTTCTGGTGCGTACATTGCCACTCAAGGTAATCTCCGTGAAATGCGTATTGTTAGAAAGACGTGATATTTGTGCTTATTCTTCTATGGAAATTCACCATATAAATTCAAGAATACTTCTCAGTATTTTGGAATTAGTATTGAATTCTAATATACTAATTTTTGCAGGGCCATTGCCGGAGACTTTTGATGACTTTTGGCGTATGATATGGGAACAAGGAACTGCAACTATTGTTATGCTTACACAGTTAGAAGAACGTGGAAGGGTGTGTACCTTGTTTTATTTTCCTGTACTAGTTTTATGTTGTCAAGGTTAAAAAGCATATAATCCTTTAGTCTAGATTTAATCGTCTTGATATCCCTTCAGCGTAAATGCGACCAGTACTGGCCGGACCGTGGCACACATACGTACGGAATGATACGAGTGACCGCTAGCGAATCATCACACATGTCTTACTACAACCTGCGTGTGTTTCTTATATCACACAAAGACGATGAAGAAGAGCCACGACAAGTAAAGCAATACCACTTTACTTCCTGGCCAGATCATGGAGTACCAACCCATCCTGTACCTCTATTATCACTGGTTCGTACAGTTGCTCATGCAAATCCTTCAACAGCTGGACCAGCCATAGTGCATTGCAGGTGGGTAACGATATATTCTTGTCATCTCTGTATTCTTATCTTTCTAACGATTCTGTGTTTAGTGCTGGGGTTGGTCGTACTGGTACTTACATAACCTTAGATTCTGTGCTGCAAAGAATCGAGAAGGAGCAAACTATAGATGTATATGAATTCGTACAGAATATGAGATTGAAAAGGAATCTGATGGTGCAAACAGAGGTACGCCAAGCCCTTAGAATAAAACAGAAAACAACAAAAAATATAGATATACTGTCAATCCAAGAGATCAAAGACTGTAGTTACATCAGATAACTTAGTAAGATCAGATATCTTTCTATCTGGTGCTAGTGTTGCTTATCTTTAGCTTTGCTTGGTGCAAAACAGTTCTTATCTCTTTTTTATTCATTCTCATTCATTCCCATTATTTCATTTCCAGTCACAGTATGTTTTTATACACGACGCTCTAGTCGAGGCTGTATCGTGCGGGATTACCGAGTGCGAAGCTAAAAAGTTTGCATCAAGGCTTCGTGATCTACGTGAGACAGACCCCAATTCAGGTCGTACCTACATGGAAAAAGAATTTCTTCGATTGGTAAAAGATGAGAGACATCATTCTACGTTCAAGGCGGCGAACATGGGTGTCAATTCATCTAAAAACAGATATCTCAATATTCTACCATGTGAGTAACTTGATATCCAGAAAATAGTTTGTCGGGGTCTGAAGGTTTGCATGTCAATAATTCTTTATTCGTGTCTTATTTTTCCCCATTGTATATTTTTTTCATTATTCATTATTCCTTTTGGATTTTGTTTTTCATCATTCATTATTCCTTAGCAGTTTTATTGATCATTCATTATTCCCAGTCAATTTTGAACCGTTATTCATTATTCAATATTCACCTTGAGCAGACCCCGATAGTTTGTGACTTTGGGGTATACGTTTTGTACTATCACTGCACTTTTGTATTTTAGATGAACAAACAAGGGTTCCTTTAAAAATGAGACCTGGAGAGGTTGGATCTGATTATATCAACGCGAGTTATATTGATGTAAGTAGAACACACAATAGTTGTTGTTTCAGTCTTGTATCGCGTTATTCTAACCGCAAAACGGCAATAGATTAGTTACTTGCTTAACATTGCATGGATAGTGCAGACAACAGGTTTATTCCTTGTTACCTTGCGAGCAGAGGAATTTTCCACCCCCAATTCCTCTGCTCGCAGGGTAATTCCTTGTCGAATGAGAAAGATTGTATCATCCAATAGGATTTAGGTCATCTAAGAATTTGATTGAAAGTTATTGGGTGATCCGCGGATATTCTCTATTGGACAGAAAAAGGAAGAAGCTGCTAACCTTAGCAATTTTCTTGAAAGCTTTCCATAACTGTGTTTCTGATGACCATAATGCTGTACCATGTCTCTTCACGTGGTTCAATTGTTCCCTGTAGTACTTTACGCCCATGCTCTGATATTACGGTTGTTGATCAGTTTTGTAGCTACAATACATTATTTGTCATCCAGGGATATTGTCGTCGGAAGGTTTACATTGCAACTCAAGCCCCTTTACCATGTACATTTGAGGATTACTGGAGGATGGTATGGGAGCAGGGCTCTTGTGCTATCGTCATGTTGACTAAAGAAGAAGAAGCAGGAAAAGTAAGATTTCCCTTTCTTCCTTCCTCATTCCGATTCTCATTATTTCCATTTTAGTTTTGGAAAGTTGTTTGTGTTCTATTAGCCTGCTTTCATCTGGGATTTTTTATCGAAAAAAGAATTTCCGAGAATTTCGAATGTGACACAATTTACAATGTACTTACAATAGCAGGTGTTGCTATAATGTAATATTGTATCCCATTTTCCATTTATTTTATTTCACTGAGTTTCAATGATAACGACAATTCGTTAGGTGAAGTGTCATCGTTACTGGCCGTCAGATGGTACTCGTATTTTTGGTGATGTTTTAGTCGAGCTAACAGAGGAGGTGTCCTACACCGATTATACCATGAGGCAGTTCAACATGACCCATACTGAGGTAGATTGTGTTTTGCTTTCATTTCCTTATTTCCTCTGTAACGTTTCTCATTTGTTTGCCCTTCGGTTTCCCTGTGCTTCTTTTTCTTCTCTGTATATTCCATTTTCTTTTCTTGATTATTTTTTCACGTTTTCACCAATCATATAAATGATAATTCAAAGATCCATTAATAACCTTGCTGACCTGGAATCGGGTACATTCTTGAAGTACTTTCATTGATTTCCAGGAAAAGGACTGTCGAGTTGTGCGTCAATACCATTATACTGACTGGCCTGACATTGGACTACCAGAATCTGGTGTTGGAATTATTGATCTTATTGGCCAGGTAGAAAAATGGCAACAGCAAAGTAACAATTCGATTATTACAGTCCATTGCAGGTAATACTCACTTTGCGTCAACATTTATTATTGCTGTAATCCACCATGATAAGTAAGTTTGATGTTTGATCAGGTGGTTTTATAATCTGTTTTCGTTGTGAGGCGGAAAATCCTCATGATTCTTAAAAAGCTTTGGGTCAATATCTTAATAAAGTTCACTCTTTGAAGTACAATCCCACATGGAATGGAGATCTTCATTAAATACTTTATCACATCCACTCATGACTAAAAGTTGGCTCAAACTTGGCGTGTAAGAATTATAAGTATTCGAGTCTAATTCTCATTGTTTTTTTAATTCTAATTGTGCTGGCGTCGCTCCTGCTGAAGTGGAAGAATAACAAATACTTGATTTATGTTTTTTTTTGTCTACTAGTGGTGGCGTTGGTCGTACAGGAGTGTACTGTGCTATAAGTATTCTAATCGAACGAGTCAAGTCTGAAGGAGTGATTGACGTATTCCAGTCCGTGCAGTCATTAAGATTACAAAGACCTGCCATGGTTCAAACTTTGGTACGTTATGATTTGTTTTGTATTCTTGTCAGATAAAAACGGGTTGAGCTCAATGGTTTAATGACATGTTCAACTACGATTTCTTTATATTCAATTTGGTTTGGTATTGTACTTGACGCTGTCTAGTCCTAGTAGTTATATATATATCTGTCTAGTCTTAGTAGTTATATATATATCGCGTGCAAATCTATCAAGAAGTCTCCATTAGTTTCTACTTTGCCTCTTCTTTCAGGAACAGTACGAGTTTTGCTATTCAACATTGCAAGAGTACTTGGACTCCTTTGATTTATACGCAAATTTTAATTAGACTTTGGGACGTGAATGGTGTCTCGTGCAAAACCCCCCGCGTTGAGAGTGGTCCAAAAAATAAACTTGAGACAGTGAGGCCGCTGGACGTGCTATACTTCAATTTTGATGAATTCAGACTCAATATGAAAGCGTGATCATGTGGTGATCATGCATCGTGCTGCGGGATACCTGTGGCGATATATGAATTTACAGTTTGATTCAGTCAAACACGCATGCGTGTATGTAATTGCCGCTGGTCGAGAGTCCACTGAGTGAAACGAGATCAAAGTAGAATAAATGGCGATTTTATATTTTAGATGTTTTTTAATATTTAGATTACTTTTTGAAATGAGAAGCGTTCTTAATCTTGTTTGTATAAATAAGACGACATGGAATTACCATAAAAAATATGTTTTGTTACACCCTTCCTTGTCGTGAGAGAAATTATTTTCATAGATATTTCACTAAAAAGCTGTTTTTTAGTCTTTTCAAAATGAATATGACTAAATAACGAAACAAAGAGTTTATTATAGATTAATACTGACTAGTTCATCACACGAAGGGTTGCTGTCGGTCGATTCCTTTATCGCTATCCTTCCTGTTACATTGATCTTTGAAAATAACGCCAAAGCTCTTTTCCTATTAAGAAACTGTCATGAGTGTTAAAATTACTGACAGCACGTGATATAATAGAACTCACATTGTGAAGAAAGCATCATCTTACATGTAATTTTGTTGAAAATACTGTACAATGAAAAACTAAAATTTCTTTAATAAAAACTTTTCAGATCAATATTGTATTCAAGTGAAAATGTGATCTGGTTTTCTAATAGCAATAATATCGCGCTGCCAACGATTAACAATCTAAATGGCGTCATTATCCTCTATCAAAAGCGCTGTCTATCTTGACATCAGAGTCCACTAAAACAGGAAATGATTTACAACCTACAAAACAAGCGTAAATTACATTAATGTTGGCTAATAGACGGTCAATATTGTATCACGTCCTATAGTATTCATCCTGTGAGGCAAGTGAATCGTTCCCACAGAATTGAACGAGCAAAGATATTATCAGCCTAACAGTGATAACATCGCTGTAGTCTTTTCAGATATGTGTTAGTTGTGTTGATGTGATGTTCAAAAGCCTCAAAATTGTTATGACTATAACCAATAGAAGTCAAATTGTTGAAAAAAATTACGTTTCGTTTCCAAAATATCCCATGGCATAGTCAGTCATCAGGTTTCCGCAAAAAACAAATGCGTCATAGAATCGTGTCTGGCGTCTGTGACGTTCTTGACAAAAGAATCATTTTTACGTTAAGCGTAGTTTTACTACTGGACAGATGAAATTTTGCGCGTCATTATTGCTCAAATAGTCGAAATTTTGCACGCCAGTTTACTAAGAGAATTCCGGCTGTAATACTGGCTGACTTTAGGAAAAGATGCGAAATGTTTGCGCGCCACGTCGTAGAAATATGTCGCTTAGTAGGACTCTAACCTGTGGATTGTAATGATAACACTATTTTTCTAAAACAAACAAAGACAGAATAATGTCAGTTGGAATCAGCAGAGAATCGAAAACATCCTCAGCATTTGTAATTTTTAGGAAAGAACTGAAAGTGTAAGGCGCGGTTTCTGCCGAGATAAAAAAAACTAGATTAACCGTCTTTTAAGCTGAGCTTTGTGAATGTAAATGTCTGCAATGAAACTGTTAATTGAATGTTACCACATTAAAGTCAACATATTCCTGGCGTGAGGTCCTTTTCCCACTTTTTTTTTTTTTTGCGGATTGGTGAGGAGCTTATAAAACAAAAAGTGTACATAAGGAGAAATGTCGTTAATTTATCTGTAGTTCTGCTAGAAGCTCCACTGGGTACAAGTTACAAAAGCACGTCTTCATTATCATTTCACTGCAATTTTAACAGTGCAACTAATTGTCAACACGACACAAAAACTCTTGGTTATCGCAATGCCACAAAGACAAGTATCCTGTCGAACAGCTGTGACGATTGCACGGTCAAAAAAAAAATCTTGATCAATGAAAAATCAACGAAATGCTCATGAGGCGATCAAACTGCAATGTTGTTGTACTCTGATCATGCTGAAAAATGTTTTTTAGGTCATATTAGTTCAAATCTGCCTGATTGCTAGTGCCGTGGACGGCCATAGTCTTTTACGTTATTAGCTAAGATAAATGTTTTTTTGTAGCGCAGGCTTTTGGGTGTGTTTTGTTTTCATTACTACCACTAGTAAATTTGCCGTTTATTTTTTAGACTAAAATTAATATATTTTTTGGATCCAAGATGACTTGGTGAGGGCGATAATGTTCATAAAAGCCTAATTGATAATAACTTTATCAAAAGTTACCGCTTTTCTTAATTGTTCGTGATTGTAAGTTAATTTTGGATTTTTTTATTGCTCTTTTCCTTAAGAGATAACTACTTATTTTAGCTCTTTTTTTAAAACACTTTGTTAGTCGTGGATCATAAAAATATAGGAACAGTGTTTCTTGGCCTTAGAGGTTTGACCTGAACAAGATGCTATTGATGCTGATTGTCTTGCAAGTCACATCGACGAACCTTTTTCCTTTTTTAACAGTAATGGATGTTTTTGTCAATCCAACATTCAATGAAATCAGTAGCAGATCTTATATATTTTATATTTAGTAGATCCGACCAATCTAATAACCCGTAATCTGGTTTTTCCTTACAATTTACACTCGGAAATCTCTGATTTACGATCAATAAAATACGAATTAGCCACATAGGAAATATGCCATATCGACAGATTGGGAACAACTCGGTTTATATTCATGTTAAGAATGTTGTTTTCGGTCTAAATGATTTGTATTTTTAGAATTTCTGGAACATTTCGGCTACTTTAAGTGTTCTTCAGAACGTCTGCACTATGTTGATAGCGATGCATGGATGATGTTTAGATATGTAGGGCTATTGCCCTTGGCCGTTGTCAGGAAGTGACACCCATCAAATCTTACTTCTTGAAAGATATTATGTTGTAATATGTTGTATATTTTTACAGTTCTATGAAATAGATATCACATTTATTGGTAGTTGTCATTTTATGTGTATTCGGTTTTTTTATAATTTTTCATACGAATGATATATGCGTCGCGACGTGCAAGACATCTAGTATTGCTGCTCTCGTATATATCGACTGCCCGCTCGTTTTCTTAGACCAAAAAGAGAGCAAAGACGTCATTGAGACATTAGACAAATTGTTTCCACATCAAAAGTGGCTTTAAGTTTTTTAAATCCAAGAGTTTTTTTTTACCCACTTGTTTTAATACAATATGGTTCTACCAAGTACTTGTTAAGCCAAGCTTGTCTATTCAAAAGCACTTGAATTGAAATAATTTGACAATATATTCCACGGCTCGACCTGAGTACTTGCGAGCTTAGTTAGCATGCTATGTATATGGTTGGTTGGTTGGTTGGTTGGTTGGTTGGTTGGTTGGTTGGTTGGTTGGTTGATTGGTTGGTTGGTCATTTAGTTTGTTCATGTAGTTTGTTGTTTTATGATTTCAAACTTTAGTTTTTTTGAGGTTTCATTTGTTCTCTGGTTGCTTGTAAGTTAAGATTTTGTTGAGCAGCATGTCGGGTTGATGTTAAATCAAAAGAAAATGGATTTCGAAACAAAATCACACGTCTATGACGGTCGCTCTCAGATCAACTACGTTCCTGTGCCGTTTCCAGGAGTTGGTTGTATGTATTCGGCTGTATTGATTAAACGGTCATAATGTAAACACAGGCTTGTGCAACCTGACATGTATGAATTCAAAGTTTCTTTTCAGTTTCTTTTTGCCGTCTCCGTCTCCGTCGCCTAGCATGATATAGCCCCGCAAATTGAGGAGTTTTCATAAATACATATTTGGGTTATATACAGGGTAAAATGCACGATTATAAGGCCGTATCAACTCTTCGATACAGTGGATTTCCGTGTTGTTATTCCGCTATAAACACTTTTTTTTCCAAATTCCCACGGCCTAAGGATTATGATAAAGACAAAGCTTGCATTTTTCTTTGTCAATTGACACTTTTTCAAGTAATTCCAAGGTATTCCGGAGCTCAAATTAATGAATTTTGAAAAGTATAATTAACCTTTTAATGATGATAACTACCCGGATCACGAAAAAAACATCTGCTTTTTTTCGCAAAAAACCTCATATATATACAAAGAAAACAGCTTATTATCATATATATACAAAGAAAACAGCTTATTATCTTTTAATTCAACTTTTTTCGTGCAAGCATCTTGTTTGCCACAGCAAAGATACTTTCGTGTCTGTAATCAGTTGTATCGTCTTCACTGTCTCCTATCTCAAAGTTTTTCCTTATTACAAAATGTATACATTTGAGTTAAAATCAAAGTCTTATACCCTTAGGTGTTTAATTTGAAAAAAATATCGACTTGAATAAAGTAGTCATGTAGAATTAGTACCTGCTGCCGGGCTATCGCATGTTTTATCCGACCATATATGTATTTTTTTTAGTGTACAACACTGCATCCGGGTAAATGTCAGTGGAGTTTTATTGCTTTTAATAAGAAATGTTTCCTCAATAGTTTGACTGTAGAATGAGTATATATTTAGCTTGATATAATTCGGATATGACGTGTTGGCCATCAGAACTGTGTATCCTGCAATGGTTGACAAGTAACCTAATATATTGACTTGAATATCTTCTAACATAGCGCTTCCTTGTATCCCCAGTGATTTTCCGGCTTCATCCGATATTAAAGTGTTTTGGTTCGGTCGTTATACAAGTCTATAAGGCTTAACTTGGGCTGAATAGTAAGTAGATAGACGCCTTCAGATTATCCCTGCTTTTAAATCCAAAGAGAGGAATTTAAGTATTTTAATTATAGCAAAGGATTTTCCCAATAAAACTGTTTATTTGTTTTATATGGTCAGTCAGTCAGACTTTAGAAAGATCACAAGAATACTTACTTTGGTTTAGATTCTTTTTAGCTTACGACAAAATTGCATTGCAAGAAAGGATGAAAATAATTGATTGCCACTAAACAACAACAGCACCACATCATTTTGTATCTAATTTTTAATGGTTAATTTTATGTCTTTTTTTGCTATACACCGTTCAAGACTTATAGTATTACTGTAAAGAATAATTATCATGCTTTTTGCTCTTTTGCTATTCCTTGTTTTATCTAAACTGTCTTTTACTCTCAGAAATCCCCCGCAGGAAAAATCCTTTATCATTGAGAGAAAAGGTTTAGATTCACAGAATTATCAGCTAAAATCACTATATCCGCTAACTATTGTACCAACAGACTATGAAATTTCTATTAAGCATTGCTATATACATCGGGTAGTTTTCCCGCCATAAATTAGCGCACGCTCAAACGATTTTGGCGCGCGCGTTAAAGTCTGGATATTTGACGAAGCTTGTCACTTATTTCCACACACAACTGGAAAAAACATGTCGAATTTGATGTTATCAATTAAGGCTGAACGCAATGTTTTTTCCGTACTCTAAGGCTATTACTTCTGTTCTTTGAGAAAGCATTGTTTTGACTGGAAGCACATTCCGTGCTAAATAACAATAACGACCTACGCAATGAAGACTATCGTCTACTTTTCAATGAATAATTATATTTTTGTAACAAGAATATTGCTGAACAATGGATCTATGTACACGAAGAAAGTTGTAATTTATGCATTAACAAAGATGCTTTCAGTTGACAACCCAACGAAATACTTGTTAAATTTGTTAAGCACTTCATGGGCCTATACGGTTTTCTGCGATCATGAAACGATATATTTGCAAAAACAAGCCCAGCTATGTAGTACTATATATTTCTCCCTTTCAGTTGCAGTGCCCGCGGGAGATGAATCCTGTCAACAACCCTCTGTTAGTTTTCTTGCATGCACTAAGGATTGGTGCTTACACATAAATGTTTTTTCTTTCTCCTGATACTCAAAGCGTAAGTTTGCCAATCTAAGAGTTCACTGTTGGTTGCTCAACAAGCTCAAGGCAATCTCCATCGTCATTCACCTGGGTGTCTTGCCTGTTAACATTTCGTGTGACCTTCAAGCTACTGTTACCCGCAAAAGAGGCAGATAGCGTTCTTGGAAGGACGGTTCGTAGTCCCTTTCTGTAGTTCTCAATAAGGACGAAGTAGATGCACGGGTTGATCGCAGAGTTAGCGTAGGTGAGCGTCTGAGAAATGGTAAAGACAAGTAGCTTACTGCATTCCCTGGGAAATTTCCAATTATATTGAAAAGCCACCAGAAACATGTATGTATTGTAGGGACACCAGCAAATCCAAAATACCAGCACAATGGTTAGAGCGATCACAGTGGCGCTTCTAGATACTCGACGGTTTCTTTTCTTTGCTTCTTGGGACTGGTTTACTCGAGGAAACTTGCGCTTGCCAAGGGTTATAAGTATAACGGAGTAGAGAAGAATTAGCAATACCAGTGGAGCAATGAAAAAGACAGATGAAGCGACGGTGAAGTAATTTCGGTGAACTTGTGTATGTATAGAGGGATCATCGTGCCACCGCCAGTAACAGTAATGTTTTTGACCTTTTTGTCCCAGTCTGAAGCCGTATAACGACGTCGCAGCGAAACCCACCGGTATGGCCCAGGTAAATATGATCATACTTACTCGTACTCGGGATGATATCAGCCCAACGCGTAGTGGAAAAACAACCCCAACGAACCGATCAAACGCCATGCAAATTAGACTGAGATCAGATACAGGACCTGGGAGCTCCGTCAAAAAGAAAGCAATCTTGCACAAGGCTTCACCAAATTTTCCAGGCACAGCCCATTGAAGTAACATTAAAGTACGTGCAATTTGCAGAGGCATGACAACGAGAGGAGTAAGTAAGTCGGAGGCTGCCATGTTTACAATGAAATAGTTAATGGTTTTTCTCATGTTTTTGTTCTTGTACACCACAAGGATGACTAGAATGTTGCCAACCAACGATATAACTAGAATCAATGAATAACAAGCTACCTTTGCGGCGCTGAAACATGCGATTGCTGGAGCATTGGTACCATTGGTGGTGTTAGCCATCGGTGAATGTGATTATATTTGGAGCTGGATGGTCAATATAAAGCTGGATGATATCTGCCACTGATCGACTGCAACAGATCAGACTTAGAAGATATTTCTTTCAGAAACTAGACTAGTGCACTCTCTCTGTTTCACTTTGTACTATGACAAACGGGGCTTGTGACGGTACTTTATACCCACGCGTGAATCAAGCGATCTTTAATGCTTTCCCTTATTAAGTTTTACGTCAAGTAGTGAAGTAGTATGATAGTTGTGATATGCGATATTAGGCAATTAACATTGTCAACCAGTGAAAGATCCCCGAGCCCGCTGGCATCATCTGATAAATTAGACAACCGATTACGTGATTATACATTACAAAATGATATAAAAACCTAACTGAACAACTTGGAGATATCCGGCAGTCTTAAATAGAAGTCTATTGAAACCTCTCTTGCATTAAAGAACCAACGGTTTGTTCGGTAAGAATTAAGGCCGTCTGGCGGATTTAGAAGGTTAAGGGTGTAATTTTATTAGAATCGCTGGAATTGTGGGAATTTGAAATAGTCAATTGTAAAGGAAAATGCGTCTGGCTGCAGTCTAGGTTTACCGCTGTTCTGTACAAGTAAGAATTCCGCGCATATGACAGACTTCCACGCGGCGCTTTGATCGCTTTGCGAGAATTCATATTACTTGATGTTTGAGCGGACATTGCGTATCTAGTTGCGGAAGAATAAGCATTAAAACGGAAAAAATTTCACAAAAGTAAAATTAAACAATAAACGATAACAAAAACAACAAGTAAAAGTAAACATAAATCTATAAGTGGAGTTTGAATTATATGCATACATTACAAGTGTCGCTTTTTTTCTAATTTCACTTAAATCGTGATTCATAACTTGTCTTTAAAGTTTGCCTTTTTGGCGAAATACGTGTCGATTCAATTAGCACTACCTCTTAGCCACAAAACAAAATAGACACAAGGAAAATTGCGTTTAATTGAATCTAAACTTACTCTATTTCTCTGGATTATTGAGGAATTGCCGCTCAAATAGCGGCGGGTGACGTCAGTCAAAAGTAAAGCGCTTTTCATGTTTTAACGAGATCGACATGTTTCCGCATTAATTAGAATTCATTTGAAATTTCTGACTCTAGGATTTGGCATAATTTCACACTCCCATTTTTTTCAGCTATTGAGAATTACTAATAATCTCAGTCTTAGCCACTGTATGCCTTCAGTTAACTGATCAGCGGGTCTTGAAATAATTTGGAATGATCAAATACCACTCAGAGTGATTAGTCTCGAGTTTCTTGTTCGCTACTTTAATGTTCTCAGACGGCGAATGGTTGTCACGGCACGGCGGTGGAAAGAGACGCTAACTAGTAGGCACTTTATTTGACTAGTAACTTGATCCCATTCATATTTCTTTTACTTTATTTCGCTTCATTTCTTTTGTTTTTATTTGAAACCGCATTTGAATATGGTTCATGGGTTTTGTGAGCTAAAATCGTGGTGAAATTTAGTCTCAAAGATCTTCTGTCACAGCAGTCTTCAATCACTAAAATACATTGACTATTTCAACACACAGCATTGACTGATGAAAGTCAATCCTTGGAACTCACCTCGAGGCGATGTGTTTTTCAGCGCGCTTTGCATGATACCTTTTCGCGCCACAGGACAAAAGCAGATCTGATCAAGAGTGAAAGGTAATAATACCAACTTCATCAACGATAGATTGCAGTTTTAACGATATCATAATGAATGTAAATGAAAAATACAGGGGAAAAACATCCTGAATGCAAAATGGGTTTCATTAGGTCAAAAATAAATACGACATTACAATAAAGCCGAAAGGAACTTTTAGCAAGATGAACTTCAAAGTAGGGAGTGCTCAGTTTGTTGTTGTTGTTTTTTAGCTTTGTTTTGTCTTGCTCTTTGCTGTTTTGTGTTTCTGGTTCCTCTTTTTTCAGCTAGCTTTGGACTTCCTGTGGAAACCGACCAGGCTACTAAGCAAAACGCTAGGCTACCAAGCTAAACAAGAGAAGTTGTGAAGGAAATCAAATCAAGAAAATTAGTGAGGTTATTGGAGGCTTTCTTTCCTTGCAATCGCACATATTTCAACTGCTTCTTGCGGTAAATATCTTTAAAACTTCCTTTTCAACTTTTGCTTTAAAAACACGCCAAGTAAAAACCCATAAGTTGACCAAAAACTATCGTTGTTTACCTTTCAGGTTATGGAATCTTCACTTGGTCATGTTACTACTTCTCTTGAAAATTTTCTTGAATGTAAGCACAAGAAGTTCACGTATTATTTAAAGATATTTTACTAAGTGTATAATTTTTGTTATATGATGTTTTAGTTACTGAATCGCTTCCAGACGACATGCAAAGAAGTATGACACAGATGAGAGAACTAGACCGTCATTATCAGGGTAAGGAGAACTAACCTTGTACTGGAAATATTATCAAAAAGGAGCATTCTAATGCACTTTTGCTGGGTTCTGAATTTGTTTTGTATTTTTGTTGTTTTGTGTCTGTGTTTTTTTAATACATCTATCATATAGCATAATATTCACTACACTATACTACAATCCTATGTAACATTTCTTTTATGTTAATAATTGTCGTTATTGTGCATTTATAGATCGGTTAAAGGAAATAGAAAGACTTATACACTCATATCGTAGAGAAAAAGATTCAGCACTAAAGAGAAAGTACCTTATTCAAATACAGAGAAGATTAGTAAAAAGCCAAGAATATGGTGATGAGAAATTGCAGTTAGTTGGTCATATGATGGATTTAGTAAGTTCAATAATGTAGTATATTTTTTAGCATTTAGTATCTACATTAACAAAGAGGACTTGAAAAGATGTCAGACCACCAGATAATGGTGCAACTCACATTACACTAGGCTTCTTAAGTATCATGTCAACTTGGTTCTTACTTCTCATAACCAGAAATGAAGCCAAATTGAACAAAACATTGAACACTTCCAAGTGAGATCAACACCATTTAACAGACTGTAGTTTTTTAAATCCTGTAACTTGAATAGCAAATCAAGATCACTTTTGAATACCTTCCTTAAATGTTATGGAAAGATTGCATTTTGACTTTTTAAACAGGGCATTTGCTTCCACAAACTGTAAACAAAAAATTTTCTTCAACAGGTTGACAATAAAAGTCGTCAGGTTGAGATTGATATGGAAAACCTTGAAACATATAGAAATGATGATACACCAACACCAATTATAAAACATGATTCTCCTGCAGGTAACATCATTTAATGGCTGATTGTATTTGTATTGAGTGTTCTTGATTTATCTATCAAATAGGTTTTTGAAAATTTGTAAGTTCTAGTTCACAATGAGATGTTGTTTCCATCTTATATTCTTTCAGTATCTCTACATGAAGAGCATGTTTCAGTCACAAAAACAACAGAGAAGACAAAAAGTAAGTTTATAACCATAGCTTGATGCACTGTTTTATCTGTTTAAAAAATCATCTTCTTCAATAAATAATTACAACTATGACTGTGTGGTATGTTGTTTACCCAATAACACCATCTTTGGGTCAAAAGAAGCTCACATGTTATATAGTAAATATATAAATATGTAGTGCAGAATGTGGAGTAGTTTATTAAGTGAATAAACTGTGAAAATGATGTACATTCTTTTCAGATATTTGATTCCAATGTGAGTTTTAATTGTTTTCGATGAATTTCACATTAGTTTCTCTTTGTTTCCAGGAAATAGACGACAAAGAAACCACGACAAACGAGAATCAGAAACTGGTGGAGGATCATCAGGTGGTGGAGAAAATCAAAAACCAGTCAAGAAAAAAGCAAAAGTCAGCAGAAAGTATGTCAAATTACATTAATCATACCTCGACACTAAATCAACCAATCAGGTTTTGATCAATCAACATGATTTAGTAAGAGGGATGTGTTTGTTTGGTTGGTCAAAGTTTGCTGCAGTTAGTTATTTGTTTGTGCAGTGAATAGTTAGAAGTGTTTATTAATGGTGGGTTGATTAATAGGTAGGTACTGTGTTGGTAGGTTTAGTTAATTAGTTTAATTATGAAATTATGATTTTTTTGGGGGGAGGGGAGGAGGAAGGGATAGGGGGTAGTGTAAGTTGTTTGGTTAGTGTTTTCGTTGATAAGTAGGTTGGTATATAAGGTTGTCAATTATTAGTTTGCCAATGTTTTAGTTGATTTTTATTTGCATTGTTCGTTTCATCTTATATAACAATACTTATTATTGCCTTCCAGGAAAACCAAGAATCAAAGCTCACCTCAAGCAGATATCCCTATTGATCCTAATGAACCTACATACTGCCTGTGCAAACAGGTAAATCACTCCATTACCAACAAGTCATAAGTTATATGATAGTCAAAGACATTGAAAATTTATAGAATATGGCATTCTTCCCCATAAAAATGCTAAATTATGTCTACTGTTTCATTGAATTTCTTCTGTTCTTTTGCAGGTTTCATTTGGAGAAATGATTGGATGTGATAACGATGAGGTAAGACAATAATTGTACATTGACATAGAAATGCCAAATTGAGTTAGTCATAGTTAATGAATTTGTGAGAATGCTTTCAGGAATAACATTTTACCTTGAAATTTGCAGTGTGAGATAGAATGGTTTCATTTTCAATGTGTTGGTCTTACTACAAAACCCAAAGGGAAATGGTAATGTATATACTAATTGCATTTTATTTGAAATTTGGCTATTTGTTCTCTAATATTGCAACTACTCTTTACCCTTATTTTTCTTTTTGTAATGAAACTCTGTCAATAGTCCAAGGTTGATGTGTTCCTAAATTCAAACAGGTATTGTCCAAAGTGTACGCCACCAGAAAGAAAGAAAGATCGAAACTACAACAAATAAAACCATTGCTGTTATTGTACATAGTGTCATTTAGCTTAAAAGAAGAATATGTTTCTGAATAATAGACATGCTTGGACTAATTTACTTGTATACTCTTCTGAGCTCCAATAAAACTGATTTCATAGATTTGTATTTTTTTGTTATAATCATGACAGCTTCACAATGCAAAGGTCTTAGAGTCCCGTTTCTGCCATAAGAAATAATAATGAAAGACATTTTAGCCAGGTTCAATCATTTCTTCTTTATCTCTGTTTCATCTTCAGAAGCTATGGTAACTCTATTTTTTTTAATTATAAATAAATCAAAGAGTACACCAACTTATGACACAATATAAACCACAAAAGGTACAAAAAGCTTTATTATTTTGAAAATGTTTTATGGCCTGCCCAGGCTCATGTAATCATGGATTGGTCAACAAAATAAGCTTTGTATGACGTCGTTGCCTTAAACCCATAAGGCTTTTCGAGATGGTAAACGGAGAATAAAAAGTGTACGGTCAGCGGCTGCAGTTTTAAGGTTATTGGAAAACTCGTGGATGTAATAGCTTTGCCGCGGCTTTTGCCACTAACTTTAACTCGATATAATCGGTTTGTACATGCATTCGCAATTTCAAATACAGACACACGGGCTGAATGTGTGCGTGTAACCATCACAAGACATGACGCATGGAGATCGCTAAACTTCACTTTCGCTCCAAAGTTTTCACTTCTGGTCAGAATTCTCAACAGATTTTTCCTTGTATTCATAGAAATCCAGCGATTTCGAGGAGTATTTTTACGAGATCTGCAAACACAATGTGTTATGTCGACATTGTTATCTTTACATTTTTCAAAGCGTCGGTAAATACTTATTCTAGAAAGATGAGTGACTTGGACATCATTGTCTAAAGGACCAGGATTGACCGGATACTCAACCTGTACCTCGAATATCTCATCCTCAGGATTTACAATTAAATCCATTGTTACTTTGTACTTGTTTCCAATAGTCCGACGACGTATTTTTTCAAAACGTTTTCCAATAAGTCTCTGACATTTTCCAAAGCCACCAGATCCCTCCTTTCCTGTGATGTACTCATTCTGTATTCTATTGTTAAGTGTTCCAAGAGCAAGCTCTGCTAGCCAAATAAACGGTCGATGATTTGTTGCAAAGAATTCATCCCAACCATCACATTTACAAATCGCGGAGTCTTTAATAGGGACGTCACCGCATGTGCGATTTGGTGATATTTCTGTGAATATTCCCTCGTTTTTGTAAGAGTTTTCTGTCTTTGAATCACCTATTGACATAAAAGTATTGTGCAAATCAAATGCAGTGATAAGTCTTTTTTGGTTAGTTATAAGAGCCTTAGTTCGTTCATTTCCTAGAATTGAAGCTACTTTTTCAGGTACAATAGCAAACATAAGCGAATCGTAGATTTCTGCTCTTCCGCTCATAGTCCGAAATGCATAGCGCGTGGTCTTGGGACCGTGATCTGAGAAGACCAAGGTCAAAGTGTTCTCTTTCTCAGCCATGTTTAGAAAAAAGTCTGATAATCTTTTATCAATCTGCTTAATTCTTGTCCCTGAGACCTCGTGACCAGTATTTAAATGAGTATAGGCCAGTATAGGGGTTTTGGACCGTATACTATCATTAAACACTCTCTCATTGTAGTCTATGAAATACTCAGCAAAAACTTTCCCGCCAAAGCAAATCTTTTTAGGTTGGTTGAATTGATTAGTGATATTGTATCGTTCCAGAGCCTCACACGAAAAATGCGAAAGTCCATAATCATCAATGTAATATTGTTTAATCTTCTTCTTAAATTTCTTCCAACGGATTTTAAAGTCCTTCAGATTTTCCGGTTTTTTCCCTTGGAATAGATTATCTGTGTACAGTGAACCCCACTCGTCGTACCAACAGCTGTCTTCTTGTAAAATAGTGTGATATCCTTTAGATTTCAAGTGCTTGTATAGATACTCAATTTCGTAATGCTGTTCCTTGTGCTGTTTGTAATCAAAATCTGTTTTTCCACTCATAAATACCCTGATGTTATGGAAGGTGTAATCGGCCATACTTTGAAATAACTCAAAGTCCAATACTGTAGCGTTTATCTTAGGATCATGGACAATCTTTCTCAATGTTTGTACCGACTTGTGCATTGAACGATAGAAGTGTGGTCGTGATACTGAATCCAGTAGAAGGATATTAATGTTGATTAAACGTTTGTCTAATGCTGAACTAGTCTTAGGGATAGTCGGAGGAAACATAACAAGCTGTTCTATGAAACGATTCCTTGTAGAGCTGCTTTTGCACTTTAGAAAACAAAAGTTGAAGCCATTTCTTTTGTTGATAATTGCGTAATGGTACAGGATCTGTTCAAGGTGTTTGTTTGAGCCAATGGGAATCTTTGAGTTTCTTGAGGGTCTTACTATACCGTAATTGGAATCAACGCTTGCGAGGTAAACAAACTTCTCTTCGCATACTCTCATGTCACAGTGAATATTTTGTTTTTTATCATACCAACAAATCATGTTTTTTTCCTGTATTTTTTCACACTGTAGTGGTTCTTGGTCGGTATGATAAGCTACGTATGCCTCTTTGCACGATGTTTCACCAAAAGTCTTAACTTTACATTTTGTGTCGGCTGATTTGATAGTCGATGTGCTGCTCTTTCTCAGACCCAAAAAAGGACAAATTGTGTAAGGATGGAGATCACTTGGACTTGACTTGTCATCTAGAAGACGCTGTAATACGCTGATCTTCTTGTCATTTTGTTTTCTTTTCTGGTCATTTTTGTTATCGTAAATGTTCGGTTTTTTATCAAGTGCATCACTGTAGGAGTCCGTATCTTTTGGTTTTCTCGGTTGAAGAAGGAACTTTCCAATTTCACTTTCGCGATTTTCATGCGTTTTATCTTTTTCCAACTGTGAAGTATTCCATGTTTGCTGTTTGCTTGAATTTTCTGTCTTCTCATCTTTTTGTTCTTTGTTGAACATTGGCGATCCATGTCGATGTGGTTCTGGAATTCCAGGAACAAGAATGCCACCTTCATCTCCAGAACTGTCTGTGCTTTCGTCGTCCTGTGGATCCCCTTCAATATCGTATTTCCTTTCTTTGGTTTCGTCCGAAAACGGTGATTGAAAAGTGATATGTGGAGTGTGTTCAAGTGGTCTTGTATCTTGCTCTATTCTATCTAAAGGTAATATTTGACTAGAAGTAGCTTGGTCTCTTTTGATTTTGAATTGAGGTTCTGGTGTTGCAAGGTCTTCTTGGACTTCATCTGAAGTGTCAAAAATAGAGTACTTTTGTAACAAACTCAGTGCAAACGTTTGTATAGTTTTGAACTGCATGACTGATGATATATATTCAACATTTCTGAGTACGTTCACAGAAGAAAGAAACTCCAAAATGTAATCAAAATCTATATTTACAACTGGTTGATCACAGTTCATCAGTTACCATTACCTGGTGCTTGGAATCTAGCTCCAACTGAATGATTCAAATAGTCTCTGTTGATAAATGTGTAGACTGACACTCCTATTACTAAGACCAGCAACAGGAAGATCTAAAACAAACCAATAAATCAATGATATGAATGATTACAAACGACCCAGTCAATCAGATAGCATTTATCAGCCTGCACTGAGGGGGTAAAGAAYGGTAACATCCGAGAAACTGCTTTTTACCAAACGTGTTATCCGATCATTGCTTCGATTTTATCAGTGTTAATCAGTAAATATCAGAAAATTAAAAACCAGAGATTTCGAGCATCACAAAAATTGCATGACCTTTGCATTACCCCTAGCACTTCTTTTAATCCACCACAATGTATGATGTCGAGTGGCGATCAGCAAAGAGCAAGAAGATTCAATAGTAATATTTCTAGTTGTCGAATCACAATCCATCAAAAAGCATACTGAAAACAGGCGATAACAAGTTCTTGGCTGTGTTTTTTGAAATATCTTTAGCTTTGATGGTTCCGAAAATATACACATGATTATTCCAATCATCATTTTTTAAGGGCGTTTTATTCATACAAGCAGTGCATATAGTTGGTCGTCAGTGAGTGTTGTTTTAGTGATGAATCGATCCCTAATTAGTGTTCTCATCCGAAAGACTGATCTTTCATGACTATTTCCATTTCACAATATCACAATCATGATCAACTTCATTACTCAATGGATCGTAGATATTTGTGAACAACTAACTGGTAGTCTATTGTTGTACCGCTTCACATTGTCAAAAATATTCACGAGATATTTGATAATCTTGATCTGGTGATTCAGTTTCAGCAGAAAATCCTTTATGAATAAAAATAACGACATTTTGTCTTTGATATTTTATGTTTAGTTATCTTCCAAAATGTGAAGGAGACTGACTGTGAATAGTTCACAGGCAGTGAAGGGTTTAAAGTCAAGAATGACAATTAGATTACCTTGAATTATCTCATAACATATACGATTCTACATTTCTTTTCTCTGCTCTAGAATTTCACTTTATAAGCTGTTCATATTACCTTTTTACAGCGGCAGATCGAACCAATCATAATGTCCTGTGATTTATAAACCACTTTTCCCTACGATGGCCACGTGATTGATATTGTCATATCCGGGCCGTAATTCCATAGTCATTCATCTTTTAATTTATACTCTACTTTGCTCATGATGGTTTCTCATATAATAGAATCCAGAGGAAGAAAGTTCAATCCTAGTTTAGATCCATGTGTAAACCATGGGAGTTAAAGGTGACTATGATTGACAGGTAACACTCGTACCTGCTACTCCTTTTTGTTACCAAGACAACGTACCATGTAAAGCGTGAAAGACAAGCCAAATGGAACTGTTAGCATTGCATAGTAAGAAGAGGCGTAGTGGAAATTGAAACATTCTAGAGACCAAAGGTCGAATACCGCGTGCGCGTTATAGGCTAATAGGTAAATAAGCAGCAATTTATTTGCGTAAAATCGCTTTATCAGGACTTGTCTTTATTATTATTATTCTACTGTATCCATGGCAAATGCAGTGCTTTTTTAACAAAAAGTTTTCAATATTCCGTTGTGAAAAGAGTAATTTTTGCTCAGAGGTGAAACATCTTAGGGCTACTCCCTTGTAGGGCGCTTAACGACCAGGTTGGGAATAGACCGTAAATGACGCCACCGTCAATCCATTTAATGGTACGAGAGGGCTTATTTTTTTTTATTATAAAAGTTTCGTCGAGCACTTCTTGATACAAAGGAGTTCCCTCCTCCCGACAGTTAAACTCGACCAATGAATTCGATCCGCGTATAAACTTTTTTTTCTAGCCGTTGATTGCATTGATCTTCAAGCTCATGACACTGTCAAAACTCCAACGTGAAAATGAGATGACAATATAAACAATTCATACGAGAAGACCAAGGAACTTAGTGAATGTCAAATGAAGCTAAAACGAAAATAAGGATTGAGTAGGACAGGCACATCTTCACATAATATACAAAATTTTCGTGAAAATTTTAATTTCTTCAGTACTGAAAAAAGCTTACAGCACTGTAATATACTATATTCAGCTTCGATATTTATTTGTCGTCTTTTCACATCTTTCTATTTGTGACTTTTTTTCGTGCATTTTAAGATGGGCTTTACTATCAGCAGGTGCCTTAAATGTGCTTTCAAAGTGACCTGTGTTTTACCTGCCTTTGAAAACCTTTGTGTTCATTATTGAAGCTGAACCTACAGTCAGATTCTTGAATTATTGTTTATTTTTGATAAAGACATTGCCAAAAACTCGATGGAATTAAAAAGATTAACGATAGACAATGAAGAAGATTAAACGTGTAAGTAAAAAACAGTCAAAGAACATGTATTACTGCGACTACAAAGAATCTCATTAATCTATCTGAACAACTTCTTTTTCCTTGCATGCTGCCCGGGTATTCCCAATGACAGAATTCACTAACGGTTCATAACATATTGGTTTACCTCCGGCGATTAAATTCCCATTGAAAGTCTAAATGGGTTTGATTAAAGGCAGCAACAATCAATTATTTTGTAAATTATAATTAATGAACTGGAAAATCCCCACTAAAAAGTGTTAATGCACGTTGTTTTGCTTGTATTTGAATGATGCCATGGATTGTTATTATCAGTGAGGATTTTTTTACTTCATTATTCCAGCGTATTCTCGTGGTAATCACCATAACTGTAGCCATTGTTTACGTTTGTAAATTCTACTTGAATAATGAGTTATTTACTTTGGAAGGTAAGTTTGTTATCCCTGACTTTTCACTTAGTATTCTTTTTTATCTAGTTCTGTACTAACTTGTTTCCTTGCAGAGTTCCTGTCCCGGTATCTTTCCTACTATTTTTCTCTTTCTCGTGTATCTTTTTGATATTTTCAGCTTTCTTCCATTCCATTCCATCCATTCCCATTCTGTTCTCATAACTTTGAATGTTGGCCGTTTCTTTTAGGATTATATGGCAATGAGAAAATACAGAACACACATTCCATCCATCAAACTACTACGTCAAAGACCGCCTCGGTGAAACGAGGAATAAAACAGGAAGTTAGTAGTTCTCAAAGGCAACAAAATATAAGACAAAAAATAAATCAGAAAATGCATTCTACAGAACACATTTTTGATGGAATCGACGAAATCGTTGAGGAAGAATTAAAATCAATCATTGGCAAAGAAGTAGAACCAAATGTGCATGTGATCAGTGAACATATTGAACCACAACAACAACCTCTGTTCGAAGGAAACGTGTTGGAAAAAGTATTAGAATCGTTTCCAGTTCAAAAAAGGAATAAATTTTCCAAAGATGTCCCATGTCCTAACCTCAGTCTTGGACGTTCTCGCAAAGATCTCTCAAGCTCCAATATTACTTGTAAACCTCACATAACTAAAGATTGTCTACAGGCGAACAAGGCTTACAAGACGAAGGATAAGCTCATCAAGTGTAACAACGAAAAACCAGTCAAGGATCTGTGCGTTTTTCGCGATACATGGCGTCCTTCTTCTGATTCGTTAACTACTGTCCACTGTGACTTGTCACCATGTGGCATTAATCCCGTACATCTAATACCAATAGATAATGACTTTGGGATTCTTTCTTCCATGGAAAAGTGGTTGGAATTCAGCACGGCTGGAACACTTGAAAGATACCTACCCGATTTTGTTGCTAGGAAGTCAATCTATGGACTACAGTTTTGTTTTCTTCGCTGTCGTAAACCAGGAACTCAAATATACATTAAGCAAGTTCTCTCATTTCCACCGATACTGGAAAATACAACGAAACGCTACAATGACGAATTGATCAATTTTAACTTTATAAATCTCAAATCAGTATCTCGAGCACATTTTTATCGCAGTCTTCCAAAGACTGTTCAAGCAATGCGTCATATTGTCCAAAATGCCAATACTGAGGGTGCAACTGTGTTAGATTTTGAGCTGCTACAAAGCACAACACCTTATTCGTTCCACAGCTTAAAGGGTTTCATGTCAGGTAAATCTGGATTAGACTACGATACGAAGCAAGACTACGGTTTTTCCTCATTATTTGGTTTATTAAAATCAAAAGGTTACTACACCATGTTGCAAGATGATACTTGTTGGTATGATGAGTGGGGGTCTATATTCACTAACTACGCCTATCAAAACAAGACTCCAAATTCTCTCCTTGAATTTGCGCAGCAATGGGATTACTATAACGATGTTGTAAGAAGTGCTAATATTGATAACATGGGATTATCAAACACTGCTTGTGATGTTTTCAAGCAATACAAATCTACCAATCAGCTGAATGAGCCCACTGTCTGTTTTTCTGGAAGACCATACGGTGAGGTCTTCCTGGATTATACCACACGCTTGTTCAGAGCAAATCGAGACACAAACATCAAAAGACCAATTTTTGCTTTTACAAATTTGGGCGTGGGGGATGAAACATCGGGGACACGTATTCGGCAAATGGATGATAGTTTCGCACATTATGTAAGAACCTTGTCTAAAGATCAAGATACTTTGACTGTTATTTTCTCAGATCATGGCCCTAAATATACAAAGTACTCATTTCATTCGATGGAAGGCAGAGCAGAAATGTACGACGCCCTGCTATTCATGATCCTTCCAAAAAACGTTGCAGAGAAACTACAGTATCACAAAACAAACTCTTTATTAAAAAACCAGCAACGTTTAGTTACCACAAAAGACTTACATGACGCGGTATTGTCTGTCGTGGATCCGCCAAGGAAAGACGGGACAATGGGACTCTTCTCTGAATTACCTTCACAGCGACATTGTGGAGACCTGGTTATGAAACCAACTGCGGTGTGCAAGTGCGAAAACTGGTATCAAACTTACCCGGATAATCACGAGCCGTTCACGTGGATGGCCGAATTGGGCCTGGGTGAGATAAACAATGCTATACAAGAGGAGTTTATGATAGCAAACAATGACGCTGGATTTGGGAAATGCCAACGATTGGTCGGTGACAGTTTTCGTAAAATACGATATCGGAGGGAGGGAACAAGGCAACTTGTAACTATGGATATTTTTGTTAAACCACATAGGGAAATCTTTGAAGTACAGATTAAGTCTCCCATAAAACCACGTGGTAATACACGTGACCATATTGAAGTAAGTGCTCTTAGACGAGTGAGTACATTCGATGTTTACAAGGGGTGTAAAGACCAAGAAGTACCTTTAGATCTTTGTATTTGTAAAACAGGTAGATATCAAGCATCATGGAGATGGATTGAAGTGACATCCAAGAGAGATATGATACACTTGATGAGGCAGAGTAAAAGCTTTAATTCAAAACTTTCTGTCAAAGATCTCCATGGAAATTGTTTATTACTGTTACTAAGGAAACATGATGATAACAATGAGGTGTTTGAGATCGCAAACATTTGTGCGGATAGGGTATATCACGTTCGTGTGGCTGGAAGAAGCAAAAGCAAATCAATCACATCAAGGAATTTACCTTTGTCGAAACTAGTACGACCTTTTACAATGCACTTTCTCTTTAGCGTTTATCATCTTAAGAAACCTTATGGATTTTATGTGAAAATATCTTATAAATGGACATCTTCTAATTAATGAATCAGTTAAATGGTAAACTCAATCAACTGAGAATAGTCGGAAAGAGAAAACGGAACAATAAGAAGTAAAATACTCATCGTATAGTCATTAGAGAAAGAATTAATAAATCTAATAAACAAGCAAAAACAGTAAAAACAAAAGCAACAACAAACAAACAAACAAATTTAACAAAAAAGGAAAAAAATAACAACAACAACAAAAACAAGCACCAAACGCCGGGAGAAAGACAAAAAAAAAAAGTAACGACACTGGGATTCGATCCCGTGCCTAAAAACTCGAAAAAGATATTGGGACGATTCCCCCGAGACATTCTGTGAAGCTGAGGCGTCGAATCGATTTACATTCCGGTTAGAGATTTCGGCTCTTCCATGCTATCCCGATAATTGGTCCTAACTTCGCGCTAACTAAAAAGCCAGTGAGGGAGAAGCTATCCGGCCCCTAGACACTGATGGATAACCCCTTGCACTAACTAGGCAACTATCGAAAATATAATATCAAATTGGGGTAGTCTATTCGGTGAAAGTGTCAAGTGGTCTATTATTATGTAAATGAGTGTGGTACAGTGGCGCGTCATGTTAACGCACTGCGTTCAGATCTGATGGTAGTGTGGAGGTGGGGGGATCGAATCCTAGGTTTGAACGTTAAAATTTTTTTTTTTTTTTGCATTGCTTGTTTCTATATATTCTTTGTTTTTTTTATTTTATTTATTTATTGTCAATTACTTGTATTGGTTGGTACTAAATCTTCAATAAATAGAATAAATCTGAAATAATTAATTTTTTTACGAAAACACCCTTTGCTGTAATCGGGATCCCGCTCCAAGTCATCTACTTTGGGCTTTCTTTGATAAGGACAGAATTTTCATTTCGTCTCTTTAAAACCAATTCAACTGATAGTTTTGTGTGCAAGCAGCCGACGAAAAGGAATTTCCATGTGATATCATCAATTTTGGTGAAATAGTGTCACGTGATCTTTTAGCCAGCATATTGTCACTTCCGGTCATATGGAGTATTCGAACCTTCTGATTGGATAATTTTAGACACGGTTCACGTTACTTCACAAAAACAAGTGGTACAACTACAAGACGATGGACGACAAAAACACAACAAATCATCCATAATGTGCTCAGTGTTCCGTGATTTGGGGAATTCATGTATCGTATTTCTGGAAAATAACTTTTGTGAATGAATGTAATAGTTATCTTTAAGATATCTAAATATGAAGGAGTTTTGGCAACTGCATTTCAAAATGGCGGCAAGTTTTTGGGGATAGTTTACAGTCAATCAAATCATCTTAGCATTTAGCGTCTTTGTAGAGATAACTAGGCTGTTAGAGATGGGCACAGGAAGCTCAATGGTAGCTAATGAAGAGTCGGATGAGGATCTGCAAGACGAAGAAGCAGATGAACTGGGAGTTATGACCAACATTCCTGTAGAATGCCCACCGCACCGCAAACCCACGAACAACCTGATACGTTCAGTTGGCTCGTTTGGGAGAAAGAAAACGACTAAAAGCAAAAGAAATGTTATTACTAAAAGCACAAGCCTTCGGTCTGCACTTTCGCTCGACTTTGAAACTGAAAATGACAAGTTGAGAAATGAATTAGAAGCGTGTCGCTCATTGAGACAAACCGAGGTCAAAGAACTACTTATAGCAAAGCAAAAACTTCAAAGTGAAAATAGAAGGCTAAAAAGCGAACTTAAAGTGGTTCACTCGACATGTACAAAGCTAGTGAATGATAGAGAAATGGCTTTAGAAGCCAAAGAACAGGCACTTCAAAGAGCATTTGCATTTGAAAAAGGTGAAAATTTAATTTGCAAAACAAGTTCTAAGAGGTCCTAAACTCCAATGCCCCCCAGCTCCCATTTAATCTCTAGGTGACTTGGGGATTTCCAGTGTAAGAATATGTAAGACTTAACTAAAAAATATCAATTTTAAATACTATAATGATTTTACATTATTTTGATTTATATATTCTCAATACATTTGATTTTTTTCCATAATTCAAATTTATAGACAGGTGCTCTAATCAGTGTTTTCATGGAATGTTTCTGTTTTTTCTTCTCCTGTTTGAAGTCACGTGATTAAATGTATTTACGGAAAAAGCAAAATATACACAACTCCACTGATGATGGTGGTCTGAATGACATAGGTTACCATGACAACTATTTGTGAGAAATTTCGTAGAAATTTATTTTTCTCTTTTGTTTTGTAGAAAGGGACAAAGTTCAGCGTCAATTCAAAATTTTCAGGGAAGCAAAAGAGAAAGAAATCCAGGAATATTTGCAAACCCAACATGAATTACAAGAAAGGATTCAATACCTTCAAAGTCATTATGGAATAGACACTAGTCGTAATGGAGAAGAAGTAGTTGGAGAAGGAAACAAATTTAGAAATGATTGGTGGACAATGTCTCTTGGTAGTGATCATAGTCTAGATGAACTAACACAAGCTAGTGTAGTACAAGGACCTGACTATAGCCAAGCTATAATGGAAAGCAATGGCGTATTCACTACTGTTAGCAGAGGTATAACTTTAACCAGGAAAATATTTGAAAGAAAAAGAAAATACATATTCAGTATCAAAACTGATTTGCTAGAAAAATGTCAACTTGTATAATTCCCTCAATAATTTGCTGCATATGAAATATTTTTAATGAAAATTCTTGTCTATCAATGTAATAATAAAAGAAAATGAAAAGTATCTATATTTTGTATGCCAGATGATTGGAATGCTACATTGCAGCAGCCATTGTCTCCTACATCAAAGAACTCTGTTGACACACCTATCATTAGAATATACTTATCTGCACCACAGGACATGAATGATGAAGTCCAAATATTGCATGAGGTTAGTTATCACAGTTATTTCTTATACTTATTATTATTATCATAATCATTATATATAATTTTTGTACTTTTAATGCACATTTGGTGATTTATTATGGTGTGTGAGCAATATAAATCATTAGATTGTTATCATTAAATTATTTTACATCATGTATCTTGAGTTTGAATTTGCTTTTTTTTAATACCTCAAGCAAAGACAGTGTGTGTTGTATGGAATATCCAATTCAATGATATTTTTATATTAGCAGTCAGATTGTTTGTAAATGACTGAATTGTAAGTAAGTTTTGCTTTGTATTTTCAGGTATATTTAAAGAAGTTGGAGTGTCTTTGTGAAGATAATGGCCGCTCTTTAGTTCTTGTACATGTGAAAGATGACTTTAATAGTGACATTGTATGTGAATAATTGTTTTCTCTCTAAACCCAGTGCTCTGTTTACTCAATAATATATTACTTTTAGATCATGTCTGTCTGTCTATCGTCCTTTAGTGCTCCAGTGCCATTCATCAATCTCTTACAACTTTGTCAGCGGGCACATTGTTATCTTTTGGGTGACAGCATTCTCTTCATGATTTCAGGATGTGAATGTTATGGATGAGATTTGTCGAACACAGATCAACCAAAGCAATGTGTTTGTGGCTTTTTTAGGTCAAAGCTCAAATAGGTAAGAGTTTGAGCATAACTACTTAATAATATTAAGCAATTATAGTAATTAAACCAATAATACAGATGAAGGACAGGAGATATCATGTAGATTATATATTATAATATTGTATCAACATGGAATTTAATTGTAATTTGAATGTTGGGTATTTGTGCTGTAGGTTTACTGTCAATGAATATCATCATGGTCATCTGGACAGTCCTGGCAAAAGATTTGCATTGTTTTGCTTTACAAACTCCAGGTAATCAAAAGTGTTTGACATTGGTTACCATGGCATCAAATGTCTTATGCTCTACCTAGGATTTAAGTTATACGGCTCTCAGCTAACAGCAAACACTTAGTGAGTTTTACTCTATTGTTCAGGAAATCTGAGAACAAAGAAGAGACAATTGAAAAATTAAAGAATTGCATTAGAAAATCCTCAAATCGAAAGGTGAAATTAACTAGTTAGAATAATGACACTATGTAACTCAAGCTGTGTAATTGGATGATTTTTCATCCATGGGTTAGTTGTTCACTAAGTTACTATGTTCACAGATATTTGATGATTATAGTACTCCAGAAGAAGGGGTGCATTTTGCATATACAGAATTAAAAGGATATTTGAAAAAGGTATATATTAATATATGAAGTGATTGATTGTAGATCAGGTTGTCATTTATTATTTATGTCTTGGTGTGCAGGCTTATGTAATGGTCATTAATAGACACATAATCATTTAGTTGTTCAGAAGCGAGAACAATTGAAACCAGTTGCTTGTATTTCCTACTTCTTATTTCTTCTCATATATAACATACTAATATTACCTAAAACTGCAATGCCATCATTGAAATATGTAACACATTATTAGACACTAGAGAGCAGTGTTTCAGACAGCAGTAGTACCCAATCTGCCATTTCTGATGAATGGATAGACACTCCTGGATTAGATGCTATGATTGATGAACAAGAACAGTTTGAAGCCCTAACATCTGCTGCTGATTGCCGCTGTGAAGTTGACTTCACCAAGGTATGACAGCTACTTAGCAAAGAGTTTTTTATTTTAATGTATGTAATAGGTGATAATCATAGGATGGTAAATGGACAGTGGTAAATTCAATAACATTGAAGGTTTCTCATTTGTTTTAACAGTATTTTAGTGATTTGAATGTACATTTATCGAGTACTGGACTACTGCTTCCTTTGTTAGTCATGGGTGAAGATGGATCAGGGAAATCACTACTGGTGGCTAAATGGTATATAAATGGACTGCAATACTTGTCTATTAAGTTATAATCATTCTGATAATAATTGTAACCATAGGATTAACCTTCAACAAGCCACTATGCCTGGACGTCTTATTCTCTACCATTTTGTTGGTACCACATCATCTTCATCTGCATGTCCTATCCTTATGCTAAGAAGGTTTACAATCCAGGTAGGAATAAAACTCATTCATGTTTGTTTTGTGCAACATACAGGGTTTTTGTCATGGGAGGTTTTGGTAATAGCAATGTAAGGAACCACAGTAATGAAGGAACTATAGTAGTGCAGCTTGGATGAGTTCTAAGATAGCGTAATATATTATGGAAATGTGCATTATGGTGCATTTAATAACAAGCCAATGCCATCAAATTATACAAATGAAAAAAAACATAAATGTGTAATGAAAGGCTTTGTGTCTCTCTAAGCTATTGAAGTACATGAGGTCTACATCAACTCTACCCTGTGATCCTGTCAACTTGGAAGAAGAATTTCTGCGATGTTTAGAGAAAGTATCAGCCAAAATCTATGGTGGTGTTACCATAGTGATTGACTCAGCTGACAGATTACAGGTACTAGTCATGTTGGTCCCTCCTCTGTAGTGGGGTAGGGAGGAGGGGGGAGGGGTTGAATGGGATGGAATCTGTCAAAAAACAAAATATAAAACAAAACAAATGAAATGAGTTAATATTTCAAATCAAAATCCAACATTCATAATTTAAGTATTATTATTTAATTTGAATGATGCTCTGTGTGATGTAGGGTTGAAATAAGTTAAGTGTGTTGATAGATATAGCAATTATAATAATAATCATATCTGTCGTAGAGATGCTTCAGAGTTCATAATGTCATGGTCTTTGTTTCTAATAGGATGTAAGGAATCACATGCAGTGGCTACTGGATCCTCTTCCTGTTGGCACCAGGGTGATTTTATCTGTCAGCACTAACACTTGTGCTAATGCTTGGAAGTAAGATTTATAAAATTTGATATCATTGAGTGTTTTTTATTAACAATGAATTTTATCTGACAGACTATGGCCTACATTGAACTTAGAGCCTTTGAGTAAAGACAACCAGAGAAAAATGGTGTCTTCCTTGTGCAGTGAATCTATACAGGATCAGGTCAGACAAAGTTTTGTTGTAGTAGTTTCTTGTACACACTACATTATTCCTGTCAATCAATTATTTCTTATACAATAATTCCATTTGATAAATATATATTTTTTATTATCAAAGATTTTTAAGATATAATTTCATCCATTCTTTTCTTATACATGTTGGTTAATTTGGGAATCAACAGCTCTTTTCTCATTTTCCTGATGATTGTTATTTCACAGATCAATAAAGCTATCACAGAATGTTCCAATAAAGCTATTTCTAATCCAAGATTTCTAAGTCTAGTTGTTGCAGAGATAAACAGGTATTCTGGTGTAATTGTCAAAAATCAATACTCATGTTTACCGATATATTCAATCTTTTTGATTTTTAATTTTTATCATTGATGGATTTTGTAAGTCATGCATAGACCCTAAAAAATAAATGATATAATTGTATTATGATAAGTGATTGATTAACTTCAATTGATTCTATTTCTAGCAAACGCAATGCAGATAATATTGATGAAATACTATCTGAGTGTCTATCAAAGAAGGTACTTGAATTATTACGTACTACCAATCTACCATCATTTTACTAAAATTAATGCATTATTTTACTAAAATTAATGCATTATTTTGTCTCAGAGGGATGACCATGAAATATGCATTTAGAAGTCACCAAGCCCTGTCCCATCTTTTAAAAACATGAAAATTATTAAATTTCATTCAGTTACTGGCTGTATAAATCACATGTGTGATGTCTATCTGTTACTATTACAGGATAATGTAGAATTGCTGGGTTATATAATACAACAGCAAACCTCACAGACTTTGGCTACCTCTCTTAAATTAGTAAGATCAGTGGTTGTATTCTGCTTTATTTCTCTAGTCTACTTTGTTTGTGTGTTTGCTCCACCTTTCCATGTAAGAAAAGCCCTTTCTACTGTCACTTCTACTGTCGGTGTTTCTAAAGCAACAGTTGTGTAAAAAGATAAATTAAACACCGTAAAAAAGTAGGTGAAGTAACTTACTGACATTTTGGACGTTAATCCTTCGTCTTTTTTTTTAATCTGATGAAGCATTAACGTCCGAAATGTCAGTAAGTTACTTCTTCTACTTTTTTATGGTGTTTCATTTGTGATAATGTTTGCTCTTAGGCTTCGACAGCGTGCTAAATATTCTTTTGAATTTGTAGGAATGTGAGCAATGCAAACATTGATATGAATAGTCTCATTTGTCAAATTCAAAGGAATAATTTACTTGCTATCGYGGCCTAAGAGCAACTGAAAAGGTGTATTAGAAATACCTAATCTATATACAAATGTAAAATCTAAAAAAAATCCTTTATATTCTTGCCTAAAAATTTGTTGTTTAGTGCTTGCCTCAATTGAAAAATAATAATGTTTAGAAATGAATTTGAATGAGTTAATAATTATGTTCTAAAAGGACTGTAAGTTTGCAGTATATAACGTCTTTATGATCTATACTTTTAGGTTCTTCAATACATTGCCTTATCAAGAAATGGGCTGACAGAACCAGAACTTCTTAGTTTACTTCCACTGGAGTGGGCAGAATGGTTGTATATCTACTTATTGCTACACAATACACACATCCTGTCTACCAGGGTAGGGCAGGTTATGTTTGCTAGTCAACAGGTGAGACAGTGTTTTGTATTGTTATAGATATAGTATTGGTTAATGTACTTTAATTGATAGGAAAGATAAATGAAATAAAATGAAATAAAATCATGAGGTTGTTTTCTTTTAAGGTTCACAGTGCTGTGTGTTTGTTGTTCAACCTCAATGACGACTCAGCAGAAACTCAGCTTGCACAACAAAGACTTGTTGCATTTTATCATGACAAAATTAAGTAAGAACAACAAATCAAATGAATATTTTCGTTGCTTTAGTGGCTCTTGGCCTTGCCAGAACTTGTAGTTGATAACATGTGGAACCAGCTCTAACTAAAGTACATAAACATAATTATGAATTATGTTATTCATTGGCAGATCTAGTTATAGTGGACTTGACTGAGAACTGTACCCTTTAGTTGATACAAAAAGATATAATATTTTTCTTTGAGCAGCATTTAATTCTTATACGCATGTGTTTAGAAACTGCCTGGTAACACGGCGGCTGATTGACGAGATGCCATGGCTTCTTTGTAAAACAAGACAGAAACAAGCACTGAAAGAATGTCTGTTGGACCTTAATGTATTTAGTTGCTTCTTTGAAAGGTTAACAATCTCTGATATCATGTTACTCAGTTGACTATTATTGTTTTAACAATGAAATATTCCATTGTCATCACTGTCATGACTTCCCCATCTCATCTGTTATTTGTAACTTTTAATGAACAGCCTTAGTTGCAGTACATGTATGTATTACCAGGAATATCTTGATAGGTGAACTCTGTGTTTTTTAGAGGCAGAATCTCTGAGCTGGTGCAGTACTGGAAATATGTTGGAGAAGAACAATCTAACATTGGTCAACTGTACCTTGAAGTCATCAAAAATATGAATGGAGGTATAACTACTAGTATTTATTAGTCCTTGTTTTAGTTCAGGTTGCATTGATTGCCAAACAATGATTGATCCAACCTTTCTCATTTAACTTTTTGGAGCAAAACAGACCTTTAACTTTCTTCATGTTTTATTACAATTCAGCAAATGAAGAGCCATCTGCAGGTATGGCTGACATCCTTGAAGCAGTTGGGCTTTTCTTGAAGTCATTGGGTTTGTTAAGTCAGGTCAGTATTAATATTTAAATAAAGATTTTTTGTAATTGAGAAGAACAACATGACTGTCTGTGTTGTGATAGTCTAAACTTGTTATTGTTGTTCAAACTTCTATTCTTTCTAACAGTTAACCGTTAAATAGGCCATCCTGGATTAATACTAATAAGGTTTTGAACAATGTGGTCATGAAATAATATGTGGAATATTAATAACATGATTGTGTTGTTTTTTAGGCTGCACCTCCACAACACAAAGCACTAGAAATAAGAGAGAGTACCCTGGACCCTGATCATCCACTTGTTGCCCAGTCCCTTCATCATCTGGCCGAGCTGTATGCTCATTGGGGGAACTTCAGGTAACTATGGAAACAAAACACTGACAAATGTAATTATAAGTGAGTATTTTATGTCTTATTTTAGTGCTGCAGAGGCATTTTACAAGCAAGCAATTGAAATCATACAAAATGTGTTTGGAGCTGAACATCAAGCACTCATCAAGGTTGATTAGATTGTGTGTTTGTTAATTAATTGAACTTGTTAAATTAATCATTCATCTAATCAGTATAGCTTCTAATATTCATAAGTATAAGACAGTATTATACCTCTTGCAGGATCTTGAAGGTCTGTCTATTTTATACAAGAAAAATGAAAAGTAAGTTAACTAATACAAACTACAGTAATTTATCAAATGTGACAGATATCAGTGATGTTTACAGGTTTTTTAATGTTTTTAAGGTATAATTTAGCAGAGGCTCATCATAAACGAGCTAATGTCATTAGGCGGAAGAGCGCAGCCATGGTATGTGTCTATTGTTTTCTTATTTTGCTTTCTCGTTGCTTTTGTTTTGGTTGTTGCTGATGACTTTCTTGTTTATTTGTACTATTTTGTATTTTTGTTTTGTTGTTGTTGTTGCTGATGTTTTGGTTCCATTTTCAGACAGAAAATCAAAATATGAAAAAGAAAATCCTCCAACTTGAAGAAGTTGCTGTAGGAACTGCTAGTAGTGAAGTTGCCAAAGCAATGAATGAGTTGGGAGTGCTGCTTTATCTACAGAACAATCATGAGTTAGTCCCACATTTCAATTATTTTCCATTCAATTTCATTCATTATACTTTCTTTTCCATTTTTTATTCATTCATTCATTTGTCCATGCATTTCCCATTTGTTGATTCAACTCCCACTTCCTTCACATCACTCTTGATAGTGACATTTTGTTATTTTTAGCTCAGCAGAGTCATTTCTTCAACGTTCACTTGACATGCGCGAGGAGGTATTAGGTAAAGACCATCCTGATGTTGCCCAGTCCCTACACAACTTAGCAGCTCTTTACAATGATCAAAAAATGTAAGCTAAGTAGTGGTTATGAATTACTATTTTTCCTCAGACTTGCATTTCCCCCATTCTTGAATTGTGCCTTCGATGGAAGCTATATTAAATACTGTCAAAAAAGATATGTTTTATTTTTGTTTCCCTGTAGGTGTGATAAAGCAGAACCATTATACAAAAGAGCCCTTGAAATAAGAATGAAGGTAGGTTTTACTGTTTGTAGAACTTTAACAGAAATCTTTTCAAAGACGTTTCGTTGTTTTTAGACTCTTCCTCATCATAATGCCAGTCTTGCTTCGACAGTAAAGCATTTGGCAGTGCTGTTTAGAAAGCAGGTATAATACACACTTTGATTTGCTGGATGCCATTGTTCATAGATTTTTGTTTGATTGGGAGTTTATTGGTTTGATATTTTAGTTGGTTTGTCGTTATGTTTGTTTGTGTGTTGATCTGTTTGTTGTTGGATCATGGGTTTCTTAGTTCTTTTGGATATTTTATTGGCTTATTGGTTTATCTGTTGGTATGTTAGTTGGTTTGGTTGATTAGTGTACCGCACACGGTACACTATCGCACTAGGTAGACTATGATACTGTACCGCACACGGTACACTATCGCACTAGGTAGACTATGATACTGTACCGGACTAGGTACACTATCAGGCTAGGTAGACTATGACACTGTATCGCAACCGGTACACTATCGCACATCGATACATCGATACTGCACCGCACTAGGTACACTATCAGACGAGTAGACTATCATACTGTACCGCACACGGTACACCATCGAAATAGGTAGATTATGGTACTGTACCGCAATAGGTACAATATCGCACTAGGTAGACTATGATACTGTACCGGACACGGTACACTATCGCACTAGGTAGACTATGATACTGTACCGC